TCAGGTTTGAGGTTAGGTTTGAGGTCAGGTTTGAGGTCAGGTTTGACGTCAGGTTTGAGGTCAGGTTTGAGGTCAGGTTTGAGGTCAGGTTTGACGTCAGGTTTGAGGTCAGGTTTGACGTCAGATTTGACGTCAGGTTTGAGGTCAGGTTTGAGGTCAGGTTTGACGTCAGGTTTGACGTCAGGTTTGAGGTCAGGTTTGACGTCAGGTTTGAGGTCAGGTTTGAGGTCAGGTTTGACGTCAGGTTTGAGGTCAGGTTTGACGTCAGATTTGACGTCAGGTTTGAGGTCAGGTTTGACGTCAGGTTCGAGGCCAGGTTTGAGGTCAGGTTTGACGTCAGGTTTGACGTCAGGTTTGACGTCAGGTTTGAGGTCAGGTTTGACGTCAGATTTGAGGTCAGGTTTGAGGTCAGGTTTGACGTCAGGTTTGACGTCAGGTTTGAGGTCAGGTTTGAGGTCAGGTTTGAGGTCAGGTTTGACGTCAGGTTTGAGGTCAGGTTTGAGGTCAGGTTTGAGGTCAGGTTTGACATCAGGTTTGACGTCAGGTTTGAGGTCAGGTTTGACGTCAGGTTTGAGGTCAGGTTTGAGGTCAGGTTTGAGGCCAGGTTTGAGGTCAGGTTTGACGTCAGGCGTCAGGTTTGACGTCAGGTGACGTCAGGTTTGAGGTCAGGTTTGAGGTCAGGTTTGAGGTCAGGTTTGAGGTCAGGTTTGAGGCCAGGTTTGACGTCAGGTTTGAGGTCAGGTTTGACGTCAGGATTGACGTCAGGTTTGACGCCAGGTTTGAGGCCTGGTTTGAGGTCAGGTTTGAGGCCAGGTTTGACGTCAGGTTTGACGTCAGGTTTGAGGTCAGGTTTGACGTCAGGTTTGATGTCAGGTTTGAGGTCAGGTTTGAGGTCAGGTTTGACGTCAGGTTTGACGTCAGGTTTGAGGTCAGGTTTGAGGTCAGGTTTGACGTGAGGTTTGACGTCAGGTTTGACGTCAGGTTTGAGGTCAGGTTTGACGTCAGATTTGACGTCAGGTTTGAGGTCAGGCTTGAGGTCAGGTTTGACGTCAGGTTTGACGTCAGGTTTGAGGTCAGGTTTGACGTCAGGTTTGAGGTCAGGTTTGAGGTCAGGTTTGACGTCAGGTTTGAGGTCAGGTTTGACGTCAGATTTGACGTCAGGTTTGAGGTCAGGTTTGACGTCAGGTTCGAGGCCAGGTTTGAGGTCAGGTTTGACGTCAGGTTTGACGTCAGGTTTGACGTCAGGTTTGAGGTCAGGTTTGACGTCAGATTTGAGGTCAGGTTTGAGGTCAGGTTTGACGTCAGGTTTGACGTCAGGTTTGAGGTCAGGTTTGAGGTCAGGTTTGAGGTCAGGTTTGACGTCAGGTTTGAGGTTAGGTTTGAGGTCAGGTTTGAGGTCAGGTTTGACGTCAGATTTGACGTCAGGTTTGACGTCAGGTTTGAGGTCAGGTTTGAGGTCAGGTTTGAGGTCAGGTTTGACATCAGGTTTAACGTCAGGTTTGAGGTCAGGTTTGACGTCAGGTTTGAGGTCAGGTTTGAGGTCAGGTTTGAGGCCAGGTTTGAGGTCAGGTTTGACGTCAGGCGTCAGGTTTGACGTCAGGTGACGTCAGGTTTGAGGTCAGGTTTGAGGTCAGGTTTGAGGTCAGGTTTGAGGTCAGGTTTGAGGTCAGGTTTGAGGTCAGATTTGACGTCAGGTTTGACGTCAGGTTTGAGGTCAGGTTTGACGTCAGGTTTGACGTCAGGTTTGAGGTCAGGTTTGAGGTCAGGTTTGACGTCAGGTTTGAGGTCGGGTTTGACGTCGGATTTGACGTCAGGTTTGAGGTCAGGTTTAAGGTCAGGTTTGACGTCAGGTTTGAGGTCAGGTTTGACGTCAGGTTTGACGTCAGGTTTGACGTCAGGTTTGACGTCAGGTTTGACGTCAGGTTTGACGTCAGGTTTGACGTCAGGTTTGACGTCAGATTTGACGTCAGGTTTGAGGTCAGGTTTGAGGTCAGGTTTGAGGTCAGGTTTGAGGTCAGGTTTGAGGCCAGGTTTGAGGTCAGGTTTGACGTCAGGTTTGAGGTCAGGTTTGACGTCAGGATTGACGTCAGGTTTGACGCCAGGTTTGAGGCCAGGTTTGAGGTCAGGTTTGAGGCCAGGTTTGACGTCAGGTTTGACGTCAGGTTTGAGGTCAGGTTTGACGTCAGGTTTGACGTCAGGTTTGAGGTTAGGTTTGAGGTCAGGTTTGACGTCAGGTTTGAGGTCAGGTTTGACGTCAGGTTTGACGTCAGGTTTGACGTCAGGTTTGACGTCGGGTTTGACGTCAGATTTGACGTCAGGTTTGAGGTCAGGTTTGAGGTCAGGTTTGACGTCAGGTTTGACGTCAGGTTTGAGGTCAGGTTTGACGTCAGGTTTGAGGTCAGGTTTGAGGTCAGGTTTGAGGCCAAGTTTGAGGCCAGGTTTGACGTCAGGTTTGACGTCAGGTTTGAGGTCAGGTTTGACGTCAGGTTCGAGGTCAGGTTTGACGTCAGGTTTGAGGTCAGGTTTGACGTCAGGTTTGAGGTCAGGTTTGACGTCAGATTTGACGTCAGGTTTGAGGTCAGGTTTGAGGTCAGGTTTGACGTCAGGTTTGAGGTCATGTTTGAGGTCAGGTTTGACGTCAAGTTTGAGGTCACGTTTGAGGTCAGGTTTGAGGTCAGGTTTGAGGTCAGGTTTGAGGTCAGATTTGACGTCAGGTTTGAGGTCAGGTTTGACGTCAGGTTCGAGGTCAGGTTTGACGTCAGGTTTGAGGGCAGATTTGAGGTCAGGTTTGACGTCTGGTTCGAGGTCAGGTTTGAGGTCAGGTTTGAGGTCAGGTTTGACGTCAGGTTTGAGGTAAGGTTTGACGTCAGGTTTGAGGTCAGGTTTGACGTCAGGTTTGAGGTCAGGTTTGACGTCAGATTTGACGTCAGGTTTGAAGTCAGGTTTGAGGTCAGGTTTGAGGTTAGGTTTGAAGTCAGGTTTGAGGTCAGGTTTGAGGTCAGGTTTGAGGTCAGGTTTGACGTCAGATTTGACGTCAGGTTTGAGGTCAGGTTTGAGGTCAGGTTTGAGGTCATGTTTGAGGTCAGGTTTGACGTCAGGTTTGAGTTCAGGTTTGACGTCAGGTTTGAGGTCAGGTTTGAGGTCAGGTTTGAGGCCAGGTTTGAGGTCAGGTTTGAGGTCAGGTTTGAGGTCAGGTTTGAGGTCAGGTTTGACGTCAGGTTTGAGGTCAGGTTTGACATCAGGTTTGAGGCCAGGTTTGACGTCAGGTTTGACGTCAGGTTTGACGTCAGGTTTGAGCTCAGGTTTGACGTCAGGTTTGACGTCAGGTTTGACGTCAGGTTTGAGGTCAGGTTTGACGTCAGGTTTGAGGTCAGGTTTGAGGTCAGGTTTGAGGTCAGGTTTGAGGTCAGGTTTGACGTCAGGTTTGAGGTCAGGTTTGAGGTCAGGTTTGACGTCAGGTTTGACGTCAGGTTTGAGGTCAGGTTTGACGTCAGATTTGACGTCAGGTTTGACGTCAGGTTTGAGGTCAGGTTTGAGGTCAGGTTTGAGGCCAGGTTTGACGTCAGGTTTGAGGTCAGGTTTGACGCCAGGTTTGAGGTCAGTTTTGACGTCAGGCGTCAGGTTTGACGTCAGGTTTGAGGTCAGATTTGACGTCAGGTTTGAGGTCAGGTTTGACGTCAGGTTTGAGGTCAGGTTTGACGTCAGGTTTGGGTTTGAGGTCAGGTTTGACGTCAGGTTTGACGTCAGGTTTGAGGTCAGGTTTGAGGTCAGGTTTGACGTCAGGTTTGAGGTCAGGTTTGAGGTCAGGTTTGAGGTCAGGTTTGACGTGAGGTTTGACGTCAGGTTTGACGTCAGGTTTGAGGTCAGGTTTGACGTCAGATTTGACGTCAGGTTTGAGGTCAGGTTTGACGTCAGGTTTGACGTCAGGTTTGACGTCAGGTTTGAGGTCAGGTTTGACGTCAGGTTTGAGGTCAGGTTTGAGGTCAGGTTTGACGTCAGGTTTGAGGTCAGGTTTTACGTCAGATTTGACGTCAGGTTTGAGGTCAGGTTTGACGTCAGGTTCGAGGCCAGGTTTGAGGTCAGGTTTGAGGTCAGGTTTGAGGTCAGGTTTGACGTCAGGTTTGAGGTCAGGTTTGACGTCAGGTTTGAGGCCAGGTTTGACGTCAGGTTTGACGTCAGGTTTGACGTCAGGTTTGAGCTCAGGTTTGACGTCAGGTTTGACGTCAGGTTTGACGTCAGGTTTGAGGTCAGGTTTGACGTCAGGTTTGACGTCAGGTTTGAGGTCAGGTTTGACGTCAGGTTTGAGGTCAGGTTTGAGGTCAGGTTTGAGGTCAGGTTTGAGGTCAGGTTTGACGTCAGGTTTGAGGTCAGGTTTGAGGTCAGGTTTGACGTCAGGTTTGACGTCAGGTTTGAGGTCAGGTTTGACGTCAGATTTGACGTCAGGTTTGACGTCAGGTTTGAGGTCAGGTTTGAGGTCAGGTTTGAGGCCAGGTTTGACGTCAGGTTTGAGGTCAGGTTTGACGTCAGGTTTGAGGTCAGGTTTGAGGTCAGGTTTGAGGCCAGGTTTGAGGTCAGTTTTGACGTCAGGCGTCAGGTTTGACGTCAGGTTTGAGGTCAGGTTTGACGTCAGGTTTGAGGTCAGGTTTGACGTCAGGTTTGAGGTCAGGTTTGACGTCAGGTTTGGGTTTGATGTCGGGTTTGAGGGCAGGTTTGAGGGCAGGTTTGACGTCAGGTTTGACGTCAGGTTTGAGGTCAGGTTTGAGGTCAGGTTTGAGGTCAGGTTTGAGGTCAGGTTTGAGGTCAGGTTTGAGGTCAGGTTTGACGTCAGGTTTGACGTCAGGTTTGAGGTCAGGTTTGAGGTCAGGTTTGACGTCAGGTTTGAGGTCAGGTTTGAGGTCAGGTTTGACGTCAGGTTTGAGGTCAGGTTTGACGTCAGGTTTGACGTCAGAGGCACATACTGGCGAGCAAGAGGCACATACTGGCGAGCAAGAGGCACATACTGGCGAGTCTGCTGTCTAGGTCAATGCCGAAGTTGAGATTCTTGAAGAGCAACGGCCCGCCGGGGTAGCCGAAGTTGACGTCGCTGCAGGCAGGCAGGGAGGGGATGGGTGTTGCATAAATGCCATGCCATGCCATAGGAAGGGAGGGGGTAAGACGTGAGTGCACAGGAGAAGGAAGGCACATGGCAGCATGGCACAAAGAAGAGGCCCGTATCGAGGGAGCCAAAGGACATGTTGCTGCAGGCAGGCAGGCAGGCAGGGAGAGATGTGGGACGAACACAAGGGGGCAAAGGGGTCGTTCACTTTACGAGAGGATCGTTCAAGGGGCAAGTGGGTTCCGGAATTGGTTTCTACCAAGAACCTGCGGGGTCTGAGGGTGCACTTGCGAGCATGCGAGTTGCGAGAATGCGAGGTGCCTCAGAAGTTGTTTGTACCATATCAATGTGCGATTGCGACCATTCGGGACACGAGCAGCTCATTGGCACGTGCTGTGAGTCTGTGACTCACCGCCCAAGGGCTGCCGTTAGTGCTCGGCTCATGTTATATCAACAACAGGGTGCTCCCAGTGCCCCAGTTCCCCACATGCACCCAGCACCCAGGTCACTCACGTGAAGCTGATGATGGGCGCCTGCGGCCGGTCTTCAGGTGTGGGGAACTCAAATCGGTACCTGCGGAGAGTAGGGGGTTGGGATGGGTTGGGTTGTATTGGGTTGGGTTGGGGTGGGTGGGGTGGGGTGGGGTGGGGTGGGGCGGCGAGGAGTGGTTGGGGTGGGGTGGGGCGGGGACGAATGGGTGGGATGGGGTGTGGAGAAGTGGGGTGTCAAAACAAAGTTGGGGGCGAGCCTTCTAGCAACAGCAGGTATAGAGCGCTTAGCTCCAGCCAGCAGGTTAAAACAATGGCAGCAGCAACAAGCAGTGCATGAGATGAGGTGCATGCAATGCGTAAAATAGCTCTATTTGCAGATAGAGTAGGGAGGTGGGATCGGGTGGAATGGTGGTGGTGGCGCGGGTAACGGCGGCACCGCAAGTGTAGAGCAGCAGACGCGGGAGCTCACCACGTTCAATCTGAGCAACAGCGTCGCATTCTCTGCGCGCGCCTGCCTCAGCTTACGCTGAACGTGGCGTGGCTCCCACGTCTGCTGCTCTACACTTGCCGTGCCACCGTCACCACCAGCTCCGCTCCACCACCACGTCCGCACACGGCGTGGGGTGGGTGGGGTGTGAGAAGAATACTGGGAGGGTTTCCTAGCAACAGCAGGTTCACGGCGCTTGGCTCCAGCAGGGCTTCACAATGGCAGCAACAACCCGCCCCAAAGCACCCGCTCACTCTGCCCCCACTCACTGCCCGCCCGCCACTCACTCTCCACCCTCCACACCCCCCACCCACTCTGCCCTGCCCACCCCCCACTCCCAGCCCTCCACACCGCCTACCCACTATGCCCCCCCGCCCCCCACTCCCTCTCCACCCTCCACGTCCCCCACCCACTCTGGCCCCACTCACTGCGCACCCCCCACTCACTCCCAAACCTCCACGCCCCCCACTCACTCAGGGTCTGCCACCACGGAATCCACAGTGCCGGTTCTCTCCACTCAACCTCAACCCGCCCCTCACTCACCCCCCCCCCCTCCCCCCCCCTTCCACGCCCCCCACTCACTCAGGGTCTGCCACCACGGAATCCACAGTGCCGATTCTCTCCAGCGCCTGCAATGCAGAGAGGGGCGGGAGTGAAGTGACGAGCACAGAGGGGGAGAGGGGCGCAGTGTTGGGCAGGAAAGGGAAGGCGGGGCAAAGAGGGGAGAAGTTCAGAGGAGGAGTAAGGCAGTTGAAGGGAGCGCGCAGAGGGTGGGAGGAACGTAGTGAGGGAGGGGGATAAGGGCGAAGAAGGGGCAGGTTGTGGGGGAGAGAACACGATCGCTGTGGAATCAAGAAGAAGAGGAATCAGAGTGAGATACGTGGGTTGAAAAAGGAGGGAGCTTGCAAAAGAAAAAGGGCAAGGGAAAAGGGGCCGGGTGGGGGGGAGAGGAGGGGGAAGGGGAGAAGACACGATGACAGTGGAATCGAGGAGAACTTGGAAAAGGGTAAGGTGCGTGGGCGGCGAGAGTGAGTGGGGAAGAGAGCACATGGGCACAGGCGAAAGGAGGCACCTTGATTCGTGATTGCACGAGGGACGCGCGCTTGGCATTGTAACGGAACTTGTCGATGAAAGCCTGTGGCAGCAGATGCACACAGAGGGGTTGGGGCACAGGGAGGCAGGCACGGGGAGGGCGACACGTGGAGGCAGGCATGGGGAGGGACGCACACAGAGGGAGGGAGGCGCGGGGAGGGATGCACACAGGGGGAAGGCACAGGGAGGCAGAAACACACACACACAATGGCTTTTTGATTATGTTCTATCCAACAAGGTTGGCACGAGGGAGGAACTTGTCGATGAAGGCCTGTGGTGATGGGTGCACAGAGAGGGGGGGAGACAGAGAGGGAGGCACACAGAGGGGTGAAGTTGCTGAGGTGGATGTCCCTCGCCCCGCCCCCCTGTGCTTCCTCCCCCTCTCTCCCTCTATCCCTCTCAACCTCTTCAACTCTACCCCAACTGCACTCCACCGTTCCAAACCTCACCATATCTTCGCCCAAAAGCCAGAGTAATGGAAGCGTCGCTGATGAGGTCTTTCCCCGCCACGGTGACGGTGAAGTTGCTCAGATGGATGTCCTTCGCCCCGCCCTCTGTGCCATCGCCCCCGTGCGACACCGTCACCAGCGGCATGGACGATAGAATCGCCTCGCTCTCCTTCACGTGCGCCTCGTATGCATCCTGGGGTGAGCGGAGGCGGAAAGGAAGAGGCGGGACGGGGGAGGGGGTGGGGAAGAGGGCGAGGGGTCACCAGCGGCATGGACGACAGAATGGCCTCGCTCACCTTCACGTGCGCCTCGTACACGTCCTGGGGTGAGGAGAGGAGAGGAAGGGAGGGGATAGCAGAAGGCGGGAGAGGGGAAGGGAAGGGAAACAGGGACGGGGGACACTGTCACCAGCGGCATGGTCGCGAGAATCGCCTCGCTCTCCTTCAAATGCGCCTCGTACGCGGTGGGGGGAGGGGAACGGAAGCGGGGAGAGCGAAGGAGAGGGGGAAAAGGGAAGGCATCAGCATGGATGGACGTCAGTTAGCCGAACATGCGCCTCGCCTTGCATGCATGCATTCTGCAAAGGCGATGTGCCTGCTGCAAAGGAGAGAAAGGGCATATTGCCAACACCCCTTCCTCCCCTCCCCCCTTCCCCCATCCCCCTTCCCCCCCTCCCCCCCTCCCCCCTCAGCGAAATCCTGAGACCCACCATGCGCTGGCGCTCGTCCTTGCGCTTGTTGCGCTCGAGCTTGCGCAGATCGCGCTCCGTCACGAAGTACATGGACTCCTCCTCCCCCTCCGCCGCCACCGCCTGGATCACCCCCGTCTTCCCCTCCCCCAGAAGCGCCTGCTCCGCCATCCCCTCCCCCATGCGCATCGGCGCGCCCAGGCTCCGCACGTTCTCCGCCGAGGCTGCGGCATGGGCGTCGCCGAACCTGGCGGCTAGGGTTTGGAAGAAGGCGCGCGCAGAGGAAGCGTCCGGGAAGCAGCCGACGTTGAGGAGGAGCGGACCGACGGCGTCGTATGCGAGGTCGCCACGTGGACCGAAGTCAAACGTCTCATCCTGGCGGAGAGGAGAGGGGGAAGGGGGAGGAATGGGGGAAACGGGGGGAGAATGGGGGGGAAGGTGGGGGGAGGTGGGGGGAATCGGGGGGAAAAGGTGGGGGAAGAGGGGGGAGAGTAGATTCGGGACGTCATGACATGTTAGAATTATCAGATGCGACAGCGTCGTATGCGAGATGGGCTCGCGGACCGAAGTCAAACGACTAGTCCAGGGAAAACGGGGGGAGAGTGAGGAGAGCATATTCGAAATAAAACCATTACAATGAGTCCTGAAAAGCGTCAGCATCGTACGCGAGTTCGCCGCGCGAACCGAAGTCAAGCGACTCGTACTGTTGAACGGGGATGTCGTATGAAAGAACGGAATTAGTAGCTCTTGTGTTCAGAATCAACTTCGCAAACCCAAGGCAAATCTTCTCTTCAGAAGGGGACGAGCGATACGAAATGGAAGGCTGGAAACACTTAAAAGGTTAAGCCGAAATCGCCAATACAGACGCCAGGACAAAATAAATCGACTGGTCGAGTGAATTAGTCGGCTGCAGCAAAGTCGTCAGGTTCAGTGAAGTAAAAAAGGTCCGTCCAGTGCGAGATCACGAGATTCAGTGCCGGAGATTCGATAACGCTGACAGATTCAGTCAATTCGACCAGTGTCATCGCGTTGACACCTGCTTTGCAGATTAACAGAATAAGGACGGCGTATGACAACGGAGAACTTTCATGTTGATTCTAAACCTCGGCACGAATGTCTGAAAAGACACGAAAAGACACGGATGTGAATCTCTTAGCGCTCACCTTCAGGACGTTAACGACATAGTCTATGATTATAGGGTCCACTTCATTCGCTGTTGGGCCAAGTCCCTGACGAATCGCGGTTGCAATTTCGGCCATGGCTGACTCCAAATCTGCAAGGTGTGACTGGAAGGGACGATGCTCTTGTGAAGGATGGAAATATCAAGGCCAACAATGCCAACGTACTCGATACTGCATGCTCGTGTGCCATATTTATATCTATAAGCACATACTCGTAACTTTCCTAAGTATGCCCCGCTCGGGTCTTAATACATCATTAATTTTTTTTATAAAATGGATGCATGTTTGTTGTTTATATTTGTATCAGTTGTTTTGCAGCTTGGTCTTGAACATGGGTGAGGGCGCGAATGTCCCCACCCTCGGGCATTTGCCAAGTGGCATCACTCTCGCCACTCTCAGCTTGGCAATGGCGAAAATATAAAACATGTACTTCATTGACTGCACGATATCCACGCACACGCTTCCATCGGGAAGGGGACAAAGTGTTGTCTCTCTGAAATCGCTTCGATTTTATTCTAAAAACTAGCAAATCTCACATTCTTCCTAAGGATGGGAGGCTTCTTTTATCCGAGGGATTACGGTATGCATAATTAGACATCACTGGCTCTCCCCGACCTATTTGTTACCATACCTACAACTGAGTCATGGGCTTGAGCTCAATCTTTAGGTCCGGTGCCGAACCAAATACTGGCAGGTCACCTGGGTTTACATTCGGCACACTGCTGGCACCGGAATTGTCTGCCGAGCCTGCAGCAGAGGCTTGGGCCGCAGCCAGGTCTGGGGAGGACTGGAGAGCGTCAAGAATCATCTGAAGGAACAAGCGGTGCCTGTTAAAGCACACATGGAAGAAGGTGTAGAGAACAAGAACAGAACAGAATGCTTTATTCGAGCGGGGGATGGGTAACGTGTGTGCAGAGAGGAAAGGGTGCAGATGGGTATCGAAGTGCGGGTGAGAAAATGTGGCAGAGAGGGAGACGGGCATGAAGAGGCTGGTCAAGAATAGGAAGGGCTTTAAAGCACACGAGATGTGAGCATCTCTCACCATCTGAGGTCGGCTGTGAGCTCTGGATGGAATGCCGTGGCTAGTAGCCTGCCCTGCCGAACCGCCACTGCCACTCGGTCCAACTGGCAGACGAGTCAACAGAGGGGGGAACATAAGTCAACATAACACAAGTCAACAGAGTCACACACAAGGGGGAGAGATGAAAACATGTGAGACATAGGCCTACGAACTTGAAACGCAATCTGGAGGACAAAAGGGCGGCGTACATTTCTTTAGGAAGCACGTGGTGCAATCAAATACTGGCAGTTCATTCTAGAAATGTCACCTTCGCTAGAATTTCTGCTTCGGAAAGCTCCTGGCCACTCTGGTCAGGCACGGCCGAAGCAGCGGCTGCAGGCTCGGCCGAACCATAGCCTGCAGCTGCGGCCAGGGCAGCAGGTGCGGCGACGGCAGAGGCACGGTTGGGGAGGGGGTATTCCGCCAGCACCTCAACAGCAGGGCCGGTGTGGATGATGGCAGGGGCTCGGATGAACACAGCCCGAAAGGGGGGGGCGGGAGTGGCGTCAGGAGAGGAGTGAGGGAGGGATGGGTGTGACTGGGGAGGTGCTGATGCTTCTGATGATGGTGTTGCTGCGGAGGTGGATTGAAGGGTGTGGTGCGGGAACGGAAGGAGAGTCTCGAAGCTGTTGATCTGCATGGGGGTGAGAGTGGCGAGGGGACTTGGATTAGCAGACAGGCATACGGGTACGTATGAGCACATTCCCAGATACACATGGGTGCGCATAGATGGAAACAACGCGTACGGTGCAGTGTGCACGGTGCAGTGTGCGCGGTGCAGTCCCCACCCACCTTCCAAAAGCGCCTGCCACTCAAGGGACACCCCCCATCACACACCCCTCAGACCCCCTCACACCCTACGACCCACCTGGCTGCCAAAGAAGTTGCGATGCACGGTGCAGTCCAGTCCCCCCAGCAGCGCCTGCCCTCCCGACTTCTGACCTGCCAGGATAGGAGCAGAGGCACGTTGAGAGGGAGAGAGTGCAGCACAAGAGAGAGCAGGGAACGTGTATCGACGTGAAGCGATTCAGGAGGGAGACATTGAAGCAGGGAACGTGTACAGACAGTTTTCTGAAGCAATGCCCGCGCTCGTAATGTTTAAGTAAGTGGCAGCATTATTTCCACCCACAGTCCAGTTCTCCCCTCCCTCCTCCCCTCTACCCGTCTCCTCCCGCGCCTTGTTCGCCAGGAATATGAGTCCGGCACATGTTCCCCACACCGTGTGTATCCGACTCCCCCAGATTCTCCCCTACTCCCAAAACAAACCCTCCTTCTCCCCTCATACCTACCTAGCGCCTTGTTGGCCAGGAAAATGAGTCCGGCGCACGTCCCCCACACCGCATGCATGCCCTCCTTCCCACCCCCCCCCCCTCGCTCGTCCTTCTCCCCCCCTTTCCCCCCCCACGCACCTAGCGCCTTGTTGGCCAGGAAAATGAGTCCTGCGCACGTCCCCCACACCGGCCGCCCAGAAGCTGCGAACTCCTGCAGCGCGCCGAGCTGGGTGAAGGGACGGGAGTGAGGGGAAGGGGGAAGGGGGAGTGCGGGGAAGGGAGGGGAAGGAGGGGCGCGGGAGAATGTGAGTTGACTTGAAAAAGAGGCTGCGAGCTCCTGCAGCGCGCCGAGCTGGGTGAAGGGAAGAAGTGAGGGGGAGGGGGAAGGGGGAGTGCGGGGAAGGGTGGTGGGGGGAGGGAAGGAGGTGCGGGAAGGAGGGGAGGAAAGTCCGTCGGGAAGTTTAAAAAGTGTGAGTCGACTAGAAAAAGAGGCTGCGAATTCCTGCAAGCTGCAGCGCGGGAGTATGTTTCAAAAGGGCATGAATGGCATGAAAAGAGCATCGTACGTACCAGTCCGCATCGTTGGGCGAGGTTGGCCATGGTGGTGCTCTCCCCGCCGGGGATGATGAGCGCAAGGGTTGAGGGGATAGTCAAAACGATAGCAGGAATTATGGCGCTCAAGGCATCGTACCAGTCCGCATCGCTGGGCGAGGTTGGCCATGGTGGTGCTCTCCCCGCCGGGGATGATGAGCGCAAGGGTTGAGGGGATAGTCAAAACGATAGCAGGAATTATGGCGCTCAAGGCATCGTACCAGTCCGCATCGTTGGGCGAGGTTGGCCATGGTGGTGCTCTCCCCGCCGGGGATGATGAGCGCAAGGGTTGAGGGGATAGTCAAAACGATAGCAGGAATTATGGCGCTCAAGGCATCGTACCAGTCCGCATCGCTGGGCGAGGTTGGCCATGGTGGTGCTCTCCCCGCCGGGGATGATGAGCGCAAGGGTTGAGGGGATAGTCAAAACGATAGCAGGAATTATGGCGCTCAAGGCATCGTACCAGTCCGCATCGCTGGGCGAGGTTGGCCATGGTGGTGCTCTCCCCGCCGGGGATGATGAGCGCAAGGGTTGAGGGGATAGTCAAAACGATAGCAGGAATTATGGCGCTCAAGGCATCGTACCAGTCCGCATCGCTGGGCGAGGTTGGCCATGGTGGTGCTCTCCCCGCCGGGGATGATGAGCGCAAGGGTTGAGGGGATAGTCAAAACGATAGCAGGAATTATGGCGCTCAAGGCATCGTACCAGTCCGCATCGCTGGGCGAGGTTGGCCATGGTGGTGCTCTCCCCGCCGGGGATGATGAGCGCAAGGGTTGAGGGGATAGTCAAAACGATAGCAGGAATTATGGCGCTCAAGGCATCGTACCAGTCCGCATCGCTGGGCGAGGTTGGCCATGGTGGTGCTCTCCCCGCCGGGGATGATGAGCGCAAGGGTTGAGGGGATAGTCAAAACGATAGCAGGAATTATGGCGCTCAAGGCATCGTACCAGTCCGCATCGCTGGGCGAGGTTGGCCATGGTGGTGCTCTCCCCACCCGGAATGATGAGCGCCTGCACCGACCGCAGCTCCGCGTCCGTGCGCACCTCCACAGCCTCGATGGTTACTGCTTTCATGTCCGCCGCGCACCTGCGCAGGGCTGATGGAGGGAAGGGCAAAAGGAGGGGCGGACGGAGGGAGGGGGGAAGCGAAGGCGAGGCAGAGAGGGGAACGATGAGCGCCTGCACCGACCGCAGCTCTGCGTCCGTGCGAACCTCAACTGCCTCGATGGTTAGTGCTTTCATGTCCGCCGCGCACCTGCGCAGCGCTGCGGAAGGAGGGGGGGGAGGGGGGGATGGGGGGAGAGGAACATGCATGATGAGCGCTTGAACCGACCGCAGCTCCTCCTCCGTGCGCACCTCCATGCTAAACGCGTTCATGTCCGCCGCGCACCTGCGAAGGGCTGCGGGATGGCGGGAGGGAGCGAGAGCGGGAGACGGGGGAAGGGAAATGCAGGCAGGGAGGGACGGGGGAATGATGCGCGCTTGAACCGACCGCGCCCGCGCGGACCTCCACCACCTCGATGCTGACGGCGTCAATGGATATTCAACGCCAACTAATACAACTGATCGCGAGCTGGGATTGACCCACAGTGTGCTCTCGCAAAGCAACGAGCAACAGACGTATAATGCGATCCACAAAAACCGATCGCTGATCTTTGACTCTGACCTGCAATGTGCTCTCTGCACGGCTGAACCTCGAAACGAGACTTGCCGAGAAATGAGCAACAGACATTAATGTGATCACAACAACCAATCTCTGATCTTTGACACTGACCTGCAAAGCAATGAGCAACAGACGTTCAATGTCATTCACAACAACTGATCGTGAGCTAGGACTGACCTGCAATGTGCTCCCGGAAGGAGCCTTGCAGCGCCAGCACTCCCACTCGAATCAAGCGACCTGACGCCGATCCAGAATCCGATGCCATGGCAACCGAATAGAATATGTGCGATCAAGAATGGAGCCGCGGACGGACCACGGATCAGCTTTTAGTCACGAATTAGCTTGAATTCAGTAATCCGCTTAGGATTTATAGCTGGTTACGGCCACGATTAGCATCGAGTCGTGAATCTGCTTAGAACTACGGAGCTAAGGTGAGATCGGATCAGCGGTGCATTCTTCAGATCAATGGCTGGTTCTAAGGCTCGACTGATCTAATCGCGGATCGGCGACAAAACTGCGGATTCGCGACAGCTTTTTTTGCCTTTGATCGTTATCCAACGAGCAGAGCGACTCTGCGAGCGAAGGCAATGGATCAGCTGCGATCGAAGAGAAGCGTCAAGCGCACGGCATGAACGAAGTCTGACAGCGGACAAAGAAGATGTCAGCGGACTTCTCGCTCCAGCCTAACAGTTGCGTGCACGGTTCATGCTGATTGGCTGACTGATAATTAGAAGGTTATGAAGGAATAGGAGCTCCCTAGGTTTCTAGGTGTTAGTCGTGTCTACGGTGACAGATGGTTAGAAAGAACAGAAAGCGCAGGCTGGTTATTGTGGATACGTGTGCGGTGCTGGTTGTGCCACGGTCACAGAACACCGATTGGTCCTTTATCGCTGGCACTTGTTGCGTTCGGAGTTCGTGTCACGACGCAAAACGAGTGTCACACAGCGTGTGCACAGGGGTTCAAACTTCTGACTAAGCTCGAACTTTTAGCGAGGTTCTACTCGGTACGATACTATGGAGAGACGTGTCGCCACGGTGCAAAGCGGTTATTTTTCGAACTGTGACAAATTTCGCCAAAAGACACACTAAACCAAAGTAGCAAGGGGGTTCGGAGTTCGTATCACACGTTTGTTCAGCGGGAAAATCAACATAGCATAGTAGCGATCTTGATTATGTTTGACACAAGCCCTGAACTGCCCCCGTGATCTCAACTCATGGACGGCTCGTGAATCGAAAGTGGTCAAAGTGACAGAACCTCTCGTTATGAGAAGCCTCGCACAACAGTTTATCAGAACCCGGCTAATGAAACTGTAATCAGCAAAGGAAACATTCCATATCAGGTGTTACCCTAACGTGCGAGCTCCTACCTTCAGCGACGAGCGCAGCGTTCGTGACTAGTCGGTCGCACGCGACCCCATCTTCAGGTCGCTCGCTTCGCAGCGACCAACAGCCCTCCCTTCAGCCGAAGGCGAAAGTGGCAACTAAGCAAAAAGGCGTGTGAACCGGCATCGTCAGCTCCCAAACGAACCACCAAGTAGTATCGCATGCGTCGCGAGCCGACCATTTCTCAGTCTCAATCCCAAATGTTCTTTCGCAAACCTCATTCCTTGTCGCTCGCAGCAATGCGCCCCCTATTCCGTTCCAAATCACTTGACTGGAATTTTCAAACTCTGCCATTACTCCTTATTACTCTAGTTGTAGCTCTAAACACCATTAGCAGGCTCAGCTCAGCCAGCATTTTGGATGGCGGCTGGCGGAAGCAGCAGAGCATCGTACGGGACGTCTGGCGCGAGGAAATTAACACATGGCGAGGAGAAAAATCCCCCCGCGCGAACCAGGAGCGGGAAGTCCAGCAGGAGTTTATTCGGCTCGGTTCAGCCCGGTTGAAGGTAGAAGGCTTAGCCAATGGCGACCTAGAAAGCTCAGTACATGGAGAAATCGAGTCGCTTATTACTCCAAGTGCAGCGTCTTCGCGACGACGGTCGCTAGGCGGCAAAGAAAATTCTTTTGGTAAGCGCGCCATACGCACTTCAGCACAACTCCGAGCTGCCGCGGCATACGCAGTTCTCGTACTGAGTCACGCTTTTGTTGTCGCATTGTCTGTCTTCAACAATTGACTGTGAGTCCACCAGTTCATGTGTGTCGCAGAGTTCTTTCCCGACGACAGCTGGGAAATCGTCGATCTTCCGTCGAGCGAACCTCCCCAGCCTCCCCCCGAAGTTCCCAGCGCCGACCCGCCAGATCCGCCCCCCGCGGACTCCCCTCCGCCCCCCCCGGGCTACCCGGACGACTCGTTCCCCTTTCCGACGTACCCCGCGCCGTCGCCCAGCGACGGCGACGACAGCCCCTCGCCCGCGCCCGCGCCCGCGTCGCTTCCCAGCCCGCCCGCGGCTCCCGCGCCGGCGGTCACGGGCGGCATCGGCGAAGTCGCGTCCGTGTGGTGCCCGCGTTTGCCGCGCCTACCCGCCGACTACATCGATAACCCGCTCGAGGAGTTTAAAGCCCTCGACGAGGCTATGGCGAAGCTCTACGCGCCGCGCCCAGACGGGCAGTCCATCACTATATGGGTATCGGGACAAAGCTCCCCTGTGACTATATCGAGTATGCCGCCCACATCCGAGCTACTAGGGCTTGAGACGACGATGCCGCAAATTGAGGGGGTGGGGGAGCCATCAAACCCACATTTGGACCCGTTTTTCACCTCCTCCCTCCCGCCCTTCCCTGCGGTTCCCTTAGACTCTTCGCCGCCGCTTGCTGCTGCTCCTCCCCTTCCGCCTCCGCATTCATTCCCCCCGCCTCCTCCCCCTGACACCTCCTCTCCAGCTTCCGAGTTTCCCCCACCTCTCCCTCCCCCGAACGTCCTTCTCGCCTCTCCTCCGCCTAACCCTCCGCCCTTTCCCCCGCAGTCACCACCTCCCCCGGATCCACCCTCCCCTGGTGGGGGGAATGTGAGTCAACCCAGCGGCCCAGGCAGCAGCTTCCCCCTGTGTAACCCGTCACCCATCCGATGTGTGTTCAGGTTCGTTGGGTATGAAGACATTGTGCCAACGCTGGACATTACCAGTGCTTTGGCGGAGGAGGTGATCAGTCCCGCGCTGGTGGTGTTACGCGGTAACCAGACTCGCCGCGTGGTGGCGGCGAACAGTGGCGAGGGGAGGTCCATTTGCGTTCATGTGCCTGATGAGGTTTACCATGCGACAAGGAGTCAGTTCTACGCCAATGGAGAGGTACGTGCTTGTTGCTATTCCTATTATCTCTGGCTCCTCCTGGTTGATTCTAATACCTGGTAACATATTCCCTTCGTCTGTGGATGGAACCTGTGCAGGTTGTGAGAGTGAGGCAGTTCAATCCACTGAGCTTGAAGAGGGCCTTCGCCAACTCATTTGTTCGTCTGGACATCAATTCAGCTCAAGTAGAAGACGACGGGGGGGTAGTCAACGTTTTTTCCTCAATTGTCAAGGATTCTGAAAGCGACACCATACCACATAAGAAAAGCTGCATTATCTTTCGTTTGAAGGCTTCGTAGCATTTAGGATTTCTAGGTGGGAGCCGCTCGCTCTCGTACTGCTAGGCTATGTCCATGCTCACATGTACAGTTATGTTAGGCACTATACTTATGTTTAATACCGTTTGTGTGCATTTCTTATCAAACGTCATATCCCTAGGATCTTCTCTGCATTGGCATATCCAGTCACGATGTCTACATTGCGGAAGCGAGAACTCGGTACTACCAGTGTTCCACAACGAGGAGTCTCCAATCGAGTACTCCAGTTTCAATGGAGTGGTGTTGTCTGGCTTCCCTCGAGATCTGCGGCTCTTGCAGCCCTTGCCTTCCATCCGCCTCGTCTTCCTCGATTCCTCCAGTTCTCCCTGCATACCTTGATTCTCGCCGCCTGGTTGGTTGAACCTTGCTGTTCTCCGCCGTGAATACACCTTCCTCCTTCCACTATTTTCTATGTGAATGCTACCCGGAGATTGGTCAGTCGCGGCGTAGGGACTAACGTGTCGGCCAGAATCTATTATTGCTCTTGAGCGTCGCGGCGGTGTTTAGTTCCAGCATTTTCAGGTCCTCCTGTCAGGATCACAGGAATCTTACGCAGTTCCTGTTATACTTTTCACGTGTAGTTCACGACTAGGCCATCCAGCAATCATCCCGTTTAGAAATCGTCGGATCTTGTAGTCAACGGGCGAGATTGTTCCCATGATGGTGGAAGTTGCGGGGTGACATGGCATGGCGCGGCGTGCTTGATCGGATCTGGAGGCGACAAGAGCCGGAAGAGGTAATGGAGCGAAATCAGTAGTAGGAAATCGAGCGTGAAAGCAGTGGTAGGGATTGGAGCGTGAAAGAGATCATAGGCAGCATAGCGTTGCTACGCAACGAGATGTATTAGCCAAACCACAATTTCTTCGATCAAAGTCGGGCATTTTTCGTAATCTATCCCATTTAGGTCGTCAATCTCCTTCCTCCCATCGTTACTGCCGACATTTCGGCGAATTAAGCTACCCAGGAATTGATCACCCTTGGATGTACTTGGATTCTCTTCACGTGACGGCTATAGCGTCGATTTCGTTCACACGATGACAATATCGTGGATTTCCTTCACGCGACGCCTTACAATCTCCGTGCGACCACTCCGTCAATCCACTCCGCGTCGCAGATCGACGAAATGGCCGACGCACAGGGCGCGTTCGTCACGCGAGCATTCGAGAAGCTTCTGCGAGAATCCACGGGACGGAAGTTCCAGAAGCTACACCAGGCGCTTAAAGCTTATCTAGGTAAGGCAATCTCAGAAGCTAGACCAGTCACATACAGCCTGTTTAGATGGGTACAAAACTTTGTGAAAATGCTCGCATTCGTCAACTTATGAGACATCTCGAAACTCCGTCGCGCATAGGAGAGGTATCGATTAAATTTGGGATTCAGGCCAGTTTTCCACCCTGTGCTTGCCTTTCCGCCCGTGCTCGTATCATGACTGGCAGATCGACCAAAAGGGGAGCATTTGGTTCTGGTCACATCAGCATCACGGTCAGTCGCCGATCTCTCTTTCCACTCCCTGCAACCACTCCCCCACCCCCCCCCCCCCCCCCCCCCTCCTCCCCTCGTTTTCGTTCCTTCAACTATCGTGTGCTCGATCCCTTCAAAAGCTTCACTTTCGGACCAATACTGGACGTCGGAGCCGATCCATCCTGTTTGGCCGCCAGATAGAACACACTGCAACACACTTTCTAGTAATCCATTCGAAGAACCAAGTCAATAACATCTCGCAACAACCTCCCAATCAACGTGCGTCTTGGCCCCGCATGAAAACCAATCCGCCACTCTTTTCACGTCAGGGTTGATCCTCGCTATGGGTTGCCTCAGACAGACGAACCAGGAGCGGCGGAGATCGTGCCGCAGCCACAGCAGCCAGCGGGGACGATTCTGCTGGAGCCCGCGGGCAGCGGGGAGGGCAGCGGGCGCGCGCACCCGAACACGGCGAACGCGGCGAATGTGACGGCGGCGGCGGCGATGGCGGAGGCGGGGCATTCGCTGGAAGGCGTGGAGGCGGAGCTTATCCTGTGCCCGCTGCGGCTGGCCATAGAGAGCAAGCAGAGCCGCCTCATGGAGACGGCGCTTGACTGCCTGCACGTGAGTCTCCCCCACTATCTCCTTTACCCCACCCTCTCCCCGACTCTCTTAAACCCCCCCTTCCTCCCTCCCTTCTCCCCCGTTTCCCACTTCCCTTCTTGTATGCGGCCGCCATATAGAGCACGCAGAGCCGTCTCATGGCGACGGCTCTAGAGTGCCTTCATGTGAGTGCTCCCCGTCTCCTGGGGGGATAGCTCTCTCTGCATGCGGTTGCATTGCATCTTTTCGCCGCGTCCCCCCTCCCTTCATCAGCCCCCCTTCCCCTCTTTCTTCCCCTTCCCTCTTTCGTTCTCTCTCCCTCTCTTCCCAATCGGAGTCAGACATGTTGTGCTGCAGCTTTAGACGCTTGATTGATTCGTGTGGTTAGGACATCACCCTGATACCTTGGTCTGAACATTCGTCTCTGCCCCTCTGGCCTTGTGTGTGTGTGGTGCTTTGATGTGAATATCCTGATGTAACGAGACAGAAACTGATATCGTACGGTCACTTGGAGGGCGACTGCGGGCTGGAGGGCGGGAAGAACAACAAAGTGCACACGGAGATCTTCCAGCTCGTGTGCTCCTGCGCCGACAACACGGCACTTGACAGGTGAGCTTATTGCTGGGTCACTGAATTACAGTGCATGTAATTGAGGGGTTGGAGGGCGGCAAGAACAGCGTAGTGCACACAGAGATCGTCCAGCTCGTGTGCTCCTAGCTCTGTTCTGTAGGCACATGCCGTTGGGGGGAGGAGGGGGGGCGAAGGTAAATGACGACGGTTCCTACGCAGTTTCCCTGTCGATATCTCCCCCACCCCGCTACAACCGAAAGCGAGAAATCTCGTGCGGAGGGGCGGAAGGTGCCGACGGTAAATGGCGAATTTGCATGTTCAATTTCGCGCCCCTTAGGCAGGGGTATACCAAACTGCGGAAACCGAGGATGAGGGTACGAAATTCGAAAAGGGTGTTTTGCATCAGAAAAACCAAAAGCAAACCCAACGCCCAATTCTCACTTTGTGCAAGATGGTGGTTGGGGTTTTTTTTTTTTGACCGGGTGGTGCTTCGCTGGTTGGGTTAAGCGCAGCAGGATGAGGTGGTGTCCCCACCCCCAGTACATCCGTCCCCTGGCCGTCGCCCAACCACGAAAAAGGTGGTTTCGTAGGGCAAGGCGAGGGCCGAGATTTTTGCCCGAGAAGGAAGGTGCGGAGGGGAAGTTGGGTGCTTCCGTGGCCCTCAAACCCTCGAGGGGAAATGGCTGTTCTGTTGCCATTTCCCCTCGAACAGGTTCGGAGGGGAAATGGCTGGCTCGACACCATTTTCCGGGCTGACCGCTCCCCAAACCAAAAAACGCAATGGGGGGAAGCTACCTATTTCCCCTCGCCCCCCCACCGCCGGAGCCTACAGAACAGAGCCCCTGTGCTGACAACACGGCACTTGACAGGTGAGCCTGGGGGCGAGGCGAGCTGTTTTGCATATTCACTCATGGGGCTGTAGGGTGGCGAGAGCAACGAGGGGCTGCCTGCAGGTCGCCTGCAGGTCGCCTGCAAGTCCTCAATGCCACTCTCACGTCTATCGCTCTTTGAGGCACCTGAAATGAATTCATCTGTCTCTTCCTCCCCTATCTCTCCCTCCCTTCCCTCCTCTTTTCCAGTGTGGTGCTGCAGGTCATCAAAGTCATCCTCACTGCCCCCTCGCCTCTTTGAGGCACCTATAACTATTTTTGTCTTTCTATCTCCTTTCCTTTCTTTCCCTTCCTCCGCTCCTCAGTGTGGTGCTGCAGGTCATCAAAGTCATCCTCACTGCCATCGCCTCATCCACTTTCCAAGGTACCACGTTTCAACTTACCCAACTTCGCACCCACTCACACCCCCATTAAGAAGGCAGTTTGGCACCTTTTCCCCGTACTGTTTCTTCTCCTCTCCCTCGCCTTCTGCTCCTCCACGTGCGTTTCCCGCCATCTTCTCACCTTCCTTTTAACCTTCCATCTCTTCACCCCACATTCCCGCACTTCTGAGTCTACCCAAGGTTTTCTCCCTTGTTTCCCCCCTTCATCCCGCCGTTCTCCATTTCCCACCCATCTCAATCGCCCATCTTTGCCCATCGCAGTGCATGGGGACTGCTTAATTCTTGCCCTGCGCACATGCTACAACATAGTGCTCACCAGGTGTGCTCCTGGTTCCCATTCGTGTTACTGACACAGCAAATATCACTGATGCACGGCTTTGAGTTTCAAGCAAGCTGCCCATGGCAGTCCTCGTGCAGGATTTGATTCGGATCAGACAACATCTTTTATTCACCCAATCGCATCACGTCACGGTCGCATTCCTGGGTCTGCTTCTCTCTCTTTCCTCATCCGTCCATCCCTCCCTTATCCCGTGTTCCCCCTGGCAGCAAGAGCCAGGTGAACCTGTCAACGGCCAGGGGCACACTCACTCAGATGCTCAACATCGTCTTCAAACGCATGGAGGCATCAGAACTAGCCGTGAGTCTCCTCAGAGCTTGCAGTTAGGACCCACAATGAGGCGTGCAATAGGCTGCATCACTTGACGCGTCTCCAGGGGCACACTCACTCAGATGCTCAACATCGTCTTCAAACGCATGGAGGCATCAGAGCTAGCCGTAAGTCATATCAGATCTTGCAGTGAGTCTCAGTGAGAGCCGGCAATAGCACATCCTCATGCTTGCACACTCACTCAGATGCTCAACATCGTGTTCAAGCGCATGGAGGCATCAGAGCTAGCCGTGAGTCTCAATTCGAGCGTGCAGTGAGTCTCATTCAGAGCTGGCAGTAGGCCCCCTGAAAGCCTGTGTTTCTGTACCCTTTCTCTCCCCTCAGCCTCTCCAAGCTTATCCATCTCCTGCTTCCACCCTCTCACGCACATTTCTTTCACCTCCCCATCCTGCCGCCCTACCCATGCGACCATGCCCCCCCCATCCCCCCCCTTCACGCCCGCTGTCCCACCCACTTATGTGCAGAGCACTCCTCAGCGCCCGCACGCCTATCGGACACAAACAAGTTAGCTTGAAAATCCTCCCCATCTCATTTCCTACATCCCCCCACATCCCGCACTACCTGGCCCCCGCACATGTGCAGAGCGCCCCTCAACGCCCGCACGCCTACCCCACCCCCACCAAGCCCTCCGAAGGGGGGCCTTCCGAGGACCAACCTGCTTCTGCTGCTGCTGCTGGTCCTGTTTCTGGCGGTGATGGTGGTGCTTCTGCTGCTGCTGCAGTGGAGGGAATAGAAGGGAAGGAGGGAGGCGGGGAGGGAGAGGAGGAGGGGGAGGTTGAGGGCAACGGGGAGAGGGATGAGAGAGCGGGAGTACAGGAGGAGCTAAAAGTCCTGGAGGGGCCACAGCCCAGTATAGAGGCGTTAGATGCTGTGCTAAGTAAAGCACTTAGGCCGCAGGGAGGGGGGCCAGGGGGGAATGCTGCTGTGGGTGAGGGTGGTGAAGGGGAGGGAGGTGCTGGGTCAGCAGGGGAAGGGAGTGGAGAGGAGGGAGCTGGGGCCACCCCTGCTGCTCCAAAGTGAGTGAAGTGAAGCTGAGATGTGGTTTGGTTTGTGATTGTAAGGAGTGTTGTGGTGTGGTGCGTCGTGGCAGTATGCACGCATGTGTGTTTACCGTTCTGCAACCCAACAAGTCGACTGGCTAACTTGACTGACAACCGTTTGCAACCCTGCCATATCATCCTCCCCACCATGCCACCACCACAGGGGCATCGATCTGAGTCTGCTGGCTCTGGCGCAGCGAGACGCGCTACTGGTGTTCCGCACGCTGTGCAAGATGGCCATGAAGGACGGCACCGAGGACCTCGTGCTGCGCACCAAGGCTCTCTCCCTTCAGTTGCTGCAGGTGGGTGGGTTGCCTGTAGCTGCTGCAGGTGGGTGGCTTGCCTCAAGCTCCTGTGTGCCTGTGAGGCACCTGGAAGGGTCTCCAGCGCGCCACGCTGTGCAAGATGGCCATGAAGGACGGCACCGAGGACCTCGTTCTGCGCACCAAGGCTCTTTCGCTCCAGCTGCTGCAGGTGGGTTGTCATCAGCTGCTCCAGCTGCTGTGCCACGTGCTTTTCTCATAGCTCTGCAGGTGGGTGGGTGCGGTGGTCAGCACGTGGTGAGTGGGGTACCAGTGGACCTGTGAGGCGCCTCAAAGGCATCACCAGGTCGGCACATGCCTAGCTGACTGGCGTGGTGGGGCGCACTGGCGCAGATGGGTGCGGTGGTCAGCACGTGGTGGTGAGTGGGATACCACCAGTGGACTTGTGAGGCGCCTCAAAAGGCATCACCTGGTCGGCACATGCCTAGCTGACTGGCGTGGTGGGGCGCACTGGCGCAGATGGGTGCGGTGGTCAGCACGTGGTGGTGAGTGGGGTACCACCAGTGGACTTGTGAGGCCCCTCAAAAGGCATCACCAGGCCTATGAGCGGGCGGTGCAGCGTATGAGCGGGCGGTGCAGCGTATGAGCGGGCGGTGCAGCGTATGAGCGGGCGGTGCAGCGTATGAGCGGGCGGTGCAGCGTATGAGCGGGCGGTGCAGCGTATGAGCGGGCGGTGCAGCGTATGAGTGTGCGGTGCAGCGTATGAGCGGGCGGTGCAGCGTATGAGCGTGCGGTGCAGCGTATGAGCGTGCGGTGCATCGTATGAGCGTGCGGTGCAGCGTATGAGCGGGCGGTGCAGCGTATGAGCGTGAGGTGCAGCGTATGAGCGGGCGGTGCAGCGTATGAGCGGGCGGTGCAGCGTATGAGCGGGCGGTGCAGCGTATGAGCGTGAGGTGCAGCGTATGAGCGGGCGGTGCAGCCTATGAGCGGGCGGTGCAGCGTATGAGCGGGCGGTGCGGCGGTGCAGCGTATGAGCGTGCGGTGCAGCGTATGAGCGGGCGGTGCAGCGTATGAGCGTGCGGTGCAGCGTATGAGCGGGCGGTGCAGCGTATGAGCGTGCGGTGCAGCGTATGAGCGGGCGGTGCAGCGTATGAGCGTGCGGTGCAGCGTATGAGCGGGCGGTGCAGCGTATGAGCGTGCGGTGCAGCGTATGAGCGGGCGGTGCAGCGTATGAGCGTGCGGTGCAGCGTATGAGCGGGCGGTGCAGCGTATGAGCGTGCGGTGCAGCATATGAGCGGGCGGTGCAGCGTGTGAGCGTGCGGTGCAGCGTATGAGCGTGCGGTGCATCGTATGAGCGTGCGGTGCAGCGTATGAGCGGGCGGTGCAGCGTATAAGCGTGAGGTGCAGCGTATGAGCGGGCGGTGCAGCGTATGAGCGGGCGGTGCAGCGTATGAGCGGGCGGTGCAGCGTATGAGCGTGCGGTGCAGCGTATGAGCGGGCGGTGCAGCGTATGAGCGGGCGGTGCAGCGTATGAGCGGGCGGTGCAGCGTATGAGCGGGCGGTGCAGCGTATGGGCGGGCGGTGCAGCGTATGAGCGGGCAGTGCAGCGTATGGGCGGGCGGTGCAGCGTATGAGCGGGCAGTGCAGCGTATGAGCGTGCGGTGCAGCGTATGAGCGGGCGGTGCAGCGTATGAGCGGGCGGTGCAGCGTATGAGCGGGCGGTGCAGCGTATGAGCGGGCGGTGCAGCGTATGAGCGGGCGGTGCATCGTATGAGCGGGCGGTGCAGCGTATGAGCGGGCGGTGCAGCGTATGAGCGTGAGGTGCAGCGTATGAGCGGGCGGTGCAGCGTATGAGCGTGCGGTGCAGCGTATGAGCGGGCGGTGCAGCGTATGAGCGTGCGGTGCAGCGTATGAGCGGGTGGTGCAGCGTATGAGCGGGCGGTGCAGCGTATGAGCGTGAGGTGCAGCGTATGAGCGGGCGGTGCAGCGTATGAGCGGGCGGTGCAGCGTATGAGCGGGCGGTGCAGCGTATGAGCGGGCGGTGCAGCGTATGAGCGGGCGGTGCAGCGTATGAGCGTGCGGTGCAGCGCATGAGCGGGCGGTGCAGCGCATGAGCGTGTGGTGATGCGCTCGTGCCAACCACTGCCACTCTTCCCCCACTCCTCCGACCCCCTCCCTCCACCAGGGTCTGTTAGACTCAGTGAGTCGCGAATTCACACTCAACTACGCTCATGCACGCTGCTGTCTCGCCCTCTCACTGCATCCATGGCCTCGCCTGCTCCATCTTCGCAACCCTCATTCAGCGCCCCCTTTTTACCCTCTCTCTCCCTCGCCTCGTTTCCCCCCTCCACACCCCTCCCAACCCCACTGCCCTCTCGCCTCAACCCCTCCTTGCAGGGCCTGTTAGACTCAACTTTGCCTTTCTCGACTCCATCAAAATGTACCTCTGCTACGCACTCGTGCACTCATACCAACTCTCCCCCACTCCCCGCCCACATTCCCCCTTTCCCGCAGGGTCTGCTGGACTCAGTGAGTCGCGAGTTCACGCTCAACTTCGCCTTCCTCGACTCCATCAAAATGTACCTCTGCTACGCGCTCGTGCGTGCCGCCGTCTCCCCCTCCGACCGCATCCACGGCCTGGCCTGCTCCATCTTCGCCACGCTCATCCAGCGCTTCCGCGAGTCCCTTAAAGCCGAGATCGGGCTCTTCTTCCCCCTCGTCGTCCTCCGGTCTCTAGACTCCCCGGATATCTCCCCCACGCAGCGCCTGGGGCTGCTGAGAGTGCTCGAGCGGCTCACAGCCGAACCACAGCTGCTAGCGGATGTTTTCGTGAACTACGACTGTGATTTGGACGCGTCGAATCTGTTTGAGCGCATGGTGACGTCTCTGGAGCGGCTGGCTCAGATGCCTGTGGTGGGGATTGCAGGCGGGGGCGCAGGGGCAGGGGGAGCGGGTGCGGGAGGGGAGGGTGGGGCGGCGTTGGTAGCGGCGATGAAGCTGGCAGCGTTGCAGTGCTTGGTGAACGTGGTACATGCGTTGGATACGTGGTATGGGAAGGATAAGCCGCCTGTTCCGGTGGGTGCGGCGGGTGGGGAGAAGGAGGAGGAAGGGGACGAGTGGAAGGCGGATGGGTTGGGAGCGGTGGAGGAGGAGGAGGAGGATGAGGAGGAGGAGGAGGAGGAGGAGGAGGAGGAGGAGGAGAGGGAGGGGCGGGTGGCCAAATGGGCGGCAGCTGAGTCACAGGCGGATCAGTTTGGGCGGGCCAAAGCGCAGAAGGCAGCTTTCGAAACTGCTGTGGAAAAGGTAGGTGCGATAAAGTTTGAATCAAAATGCGGAATGGCTGTGGAAAAGGTGGTTTTCGAGGCGCCACTTCAGCATGCAGGTGCAGGAAGGTACGGTTTGTATGGTGTTCATGGCCATGGTTTCATTTCAGGTCACCTACAACTTTCTCCCCTACGCACACCTCCCCAAACCTCGTCACCTCTCCCCACCCTTCCCCACCATTCTCCTCCCCCACGCAGTTCAACATGAAGCCGGAGAAGGGGCTGGCCTTCCTGCTGACACGAGGGCTGCTGGCTGCCGACGCTGCTGCCACGGCTGCCCACCCGTCCCCACCCTTCCTCACCTCTGTCCACCCCTCTCCACCCTTCTCCACCCTCCTCTGCCCCTACACAGTTCAACATGAAGCCGGAGAAGGGGCTTGCCTTCCTGCGGACGAGAGGGCTGCTGGCTGCCGACGCTGCTGCCACGGCTGAGTTCCTGCGCTCCACCCCTGGGCTCGATAAGGTGCGAGACGGTGTGAGGTGGTGTGAAACGGTGCAGAGGAGCGGATGTCAGGTCAGCATACGTGGGGTAGGTGAGTGGGCTGGCCTTTCTGCGGACGAGAGGGCTGCTGGCTGCCGACGCTGCCGCCACGGCTGAGTTCCTGTGCGCTCCACTCCTGGGCTCGATAAGGTGCGAGGGGGTGTGAAACGGTAGGAAAGCGTGGGTGTGAGACGGTGTGAAACGGTGTCAGATGGTGAAGAGGAGTGCATGTCAGGTCAGCATGCCTGAGGCAGCATGAAGACTGCTGGCTGCCGATGCTGCTGCCACGGCTGAGTTCCTGCGCTCCACTCCTGGGCTCGATAAGGTGCGATACGGTGTGGAACGGTGTCAGACGATGAAGAGGAGTTGATAAGGTAAGCTGCCTTGCGCAGTTGAGTTGGAGTTGATTAGCTGGCGAGGAGCAGCAGCTTCTTGTTCCTGCATGCCTTGGTGGGTGGCACTGGCATGCATGCCTTGGTGGGTGGCACTGGCATGCATGCGTTGGTGGGTGGCACTTGCATGGATGCGTTGGTGGGTGGCACTTGCATGGATGCGTTGGTGGGTGGCACTTGCATGGATGCGTTGGTGGGTGGCACTTGCATGGATGCGTTGGTGGGTGGCACTTGCATGGATGCCTTGGTGGGTGGCACTTGCATGGATGCGTTGGTGGGTGGCACTTGCATGGATGCGTTGGTGGGTGGCACTTGCATGGATGCGTTGGTGGGTGGCACTTGCATGGATGCCTTGGTGGGTGGCACTTGCATGGATGCGTTGGTGGGTGGCACTTGCATGGATGCCTTGGTGGGTGGCACTTGCATGGATGCCTTGGTGGGTGGCACTTGCATGGATGCCTTGGTGGGTGGCACTTGCATGGATGCCTTGGTGGGTGGCACTGGCATGCGTGCCACACAGCCAGCATCTAATGCCACGCACACACATCTGCGCTCCACCTCCCCTCCCCTCTTCATGCGTGTCTCTCCTGCCAGATAGCCATAGGGGACTATCTGGGCCATCACCACTACCACCTGGCGGTGATGCATGCATACGTGGACGCCATCCCCTTCCACTCCCTGACCCACTACATTCCTCCTCTTCCCCTAATTCTCCTGTGTGTGTGGTGTGTATGTGCGTGCATCTGCCCCTCCAGACGGCCATAGGGGACTATCTGGGCCATCACCACTACCACCTGGCGGTGATGCATGCATACGTGGACGCCATCCCCTTCCACTCCCTGACCCACTACATTCCTCCTCTTCCCCTAATTCTCCTGTGTGTGTGGTGTGTATGTGCGTGCATCTGCCCCTCCAGACGGCCATAGGGGACTATCTGGGCCATCACCACTACCACCTGGCGGTGATGCATGCATACGTGGACGCCATCCCCTTCCACTCCCTGACCCACTACATTCCTCCTCTTCCCCTAATTCTCCTGTGTGTGTGGTGTGTATGTGCGTGCATCTGCCCCTCCAGACGGCCATAGGGGACTATCTGGGCCATCACCACTACCACCTGGCGGTGATGCATGCATACGTGGACGCCATCCCCTTCCACTCCCTGACCCACTACATTCCTCCTCTTCCCCTAATTCTCCTGTGTGTGTGGTGTGTATGTGCGTGCATCTGCCCCTCCAGACGGCCATAGGGGACTATCTGGGCCATCACCACTACCACCTGGCGGTGATGCATGCATACGTGGACGCCATCCCCTTCCACTCCCTGACCCACTACATTCCTCCTCTTCCCCTGATTCTCCTGTGTGTGTGGTGTGTATGTGCGTGCATCTGCCCCTCCAGACGGCCATAGGGGACTATCTGGGCCATCACGACGACTACCACCTGGCGGTGATGCATGCATACGTGGACGCCATCCCCTTCCACTCCCTGACCCACTACATTCCTCCTCTTCCCCTAATTCTCCTGTGTGTGTGGTGTGTATGTGCGTGCATCTGCCCCTCCAGACGGCCATAGGGGACTATCTGGGCCATCACCACTACCACCTGGCGGTGATGCATGCATACGTGGACGCCATCCCCTTCCACTCCCTGACCCACTACATTCCTCCTCTTCCCCTAATTCTCCTGTGTGTGTGGTGTGTATGTGCGTGCATCTGCCCCTCCAGACGGCCATAGGGGACTATCTGGGCCATCACCACTACCACCTGGCGGTGATGCATGCATACGTGGACGCCATCCCCTTCCACTCCCTGACCCACTACATTCCTCCTCTTCCCCTAATTCTCCTGTGTGTGTGGTGTGTATGTGCGTGCATCTGCCCCTCCAGACGGCCATAGGGGACTATCTGGGCCATCACGACGACTACCACCTGGCGGTGATGCATGCATACGTGGACGCCATCCCCTTCCACTCCCTGACCCACTACATTCCTCCTCTTCCCCTAATTCTCCTGTGTGTGTGGTGTGTATGTGCGTGCATCTGCCCCTCCAGACGGCCATAGGGGACTATCTGGGCCATCACGACGACTACCACCTGGCGGTGATGCATGCATACGTGGACGCCATCCCCTTCCACTCCCTGACCCACTACATTCCTCCTCTTCCCCTAATTCTCCTGTGTGTGTGGTGTGTATGTGCGTGCATCTGCCCCTCCAGACGGCCATAGGGGACTATCTGGGCCATCACGACGACTACCACCTGGCGGTGATGCATGCATACGTGGACGCCATCCCCTTCCACTCCCTGACCCACTACATTCCTCCTCTTCCCCTAATTCTTCTGTGTGTGTGGTGTGTATGTGCGTGCATCTGCCCCTCCAGACGGCCATAGGGGACTACCTGGGCCATCACGACGACTACCACCTGGCAGTGATGCACGCGTACGTGGACGGCATTCCCTTCCACAGCACCTCCTTCGACCACGCCATCCGCACCTTCCTCAAGGGCTTCCGCCTGCCAGGCGAGGCGCAGAAGATCGATCGCATCATGGAGAAGTTTGCCGAGAAGTGAGTGGTTGGCTGAGGAGGGATTGAATGCGGTTGACAAGTGAGTGAAGGGGATAGTCAGTGCTTTGAGGGCGTGCCTCTGGCAAGGAGGGGCTTCCGCCTCCCGGGCGAGGGGCAGAAGATCGATCGCATCATGGAGAAGTTCGCTGAGAAGTGAGTTTGGCTGGTTGGTAGCTCCACCTAGGATAAGATTCACCGTTGCAAATTGAGTCTAGATGGTTGATTCCTTCGTTGCCGCGAAGAGCACCTTCCTCAGGGGCTTCCGCCTCCCGGGGGAGGGGCAGAAGATCGATCGTATCATGGAGAAGTTTGCCGAGAAGTGAGTGGTTGGCTGAGTTGTGAGCCCGGCTTGTTAAGAAGTGAGTGAAGGGGGTAGTTAGAGCTTTGGCGGCGTGCCTGTGGAAAGAAGGTGCTTCCGTCTCCCCAGTGCTCATGCTCAACATCCATGCACACAACACAAAAATCTCCCCAGTGCTCTCACGCTCAACATCCATCCATGCACACAACCCCTCCATGTGTGACGAGGCGATTTGTGAGTCGACTCAAAAATCTCCCCAGTGCTCCCATGCTCAGCATCCATGCACACAACCCCTCCTCTCCACCCCCCTCCCCAGGTACTGCAAGGACAACCCGGGGGTATTCAAAACGGCAGACAGTGCCTACGTGCTGGCCTATGCAGTGATCATGCTCAACACAGACGCACACAACCCCCCCTCTCCATCCCTCCTTCCCTTCCACCCTCCCCACCACCACCACCACCACCACCACATCTCCCAGGTATTGCAAGGACAACCCGGGGGTGTTCAAAACGGCAGACAGTGCCTACGTGCTGGCGTATGCAGTGATCATGCTCAACACAGACGCACACGACCCCTCAATTCCTCCCGCATCCTCTCCACCCCCTTCCGCAGATACTGCAAGGACAACCCGGGGGTATTCAAGACAGCAGACAGTGCCTACGTGCTGGCGTACGCAGTGATCATGCTCAACACAGACGCACACAACCCCGTGGTCACGGCCAAGATGACCAAAGCCGACTTCGTACGAATCAACTCGTCCCTCGAGGGCGAAGAGAGCGCACCCAAGGAGCTCCTAGAGGCCATTTATGACTCAATAGTCTCCGAGGAGATTAAACTGCGCGATGATGGCGGTCCGGGGGGTGCCGGGGGGGGTGGGGGAGCGGGCGGAGCGGGCGGGAAGGAGAAAGGGCAGCTGGTAACGGTGCTGAATCTGGCCTCAGGGCATAAACGCAGCACGGTGGATGTACGGAAGGAGAGTGACGATATAATCAAGCGCACACAGGCGATTGTGAGGAGAGGGCGCGTGCAGCGCGGGGTGTTCCACTCCGCTGCCCATGCTGACCTCGCTCGGCCCATGCTGGAGGCGGTGGGATGGCCGCTGGTAGCCACGTTTGCTGTGACCATGGAGGAAGGTCCGTCGGGAGAGAGTGCTGCTGCAGTGGCCGCTCTAGCGGCAGGGGGTGCAGGGGGTGGGGGGCCGAAGAGCCTGGTGGTTGTCTGCATGGACGGGCTCCGCTGTGCGATTCACCTGGCGTTTCTCCTGGGCATGGAGACTCTCCGCTACGCCCTCCTGACCTCGCTCGTCCGCTTCACCTTCCTGCACGCGCCGAGGGAACTCCGGGTGAAGAACCTAGAGGCGATCCGCACGCTGCTGGCGATAGCAGAGCAGGAGCCAGAGGCACTGCAGGACACGTGGAATGCTGTGCTGGAGTGCGTGTCCAGGCTGGAGCACGTTGCCACGTCACCTGCCATGCTGGCGGTGCTGGGCGCGCCGCCCGCGCCGGTGGCCGTGAGGGAGGCGCTGCTGGGAGGGGTGGAGGAGCTGGCGGGGAAGCCTCTGGAGCAGGTGGGTGATTTTTTTTATCGTTTCCTTCTCTCTTCTATGCTCCCTTCTCCCTCCTCGCTTGCCACATCCCTTGTCTTATCACCTCATCCCCCTCCCGTCCCCCTCACCTCACTCTCTCCCAACAGGTCTTTGTGGTGAGCTCTCACCTCCCCTCAGACGCCGTGGTGGAGTTCTTCATCGCCCTCTGCGGTGTGTCCGCTGAGGAGCTCCGCCAGTCGCCCCCGCGGGTGTACTCCCTGCAGAAGATCGTGGAGATCTCATACTACAACATGACTCGCATCCGCATGGTATGTTGCGTGTGGGGTGCCGTTTGAATGGTGTGTGGGGGCGGGACCTGTGAGTGCACTCAGTCGCCCCCGCGGGTCTTCTCGCTGCAGAATATCGTGGAGATCTCCTATTACAACATGACTCGCATCCGCATGGTGCGTGTGTGTGTGTGAGGAGGCTTGAGATCCGCCCCAGCACTCAAGGCACGTGAGTGCACTCAAAGGGCCCCTCAGGTAAGTGTTCTCGCTGCAGAAGATCGTGGAGATCTCCTACTACAACATGACGCGCATTCGCATGGTGCGTGTAGGGTCCTCTTATGCGCATCCGCATGCTGTGTATGGGTGGGGTGGAATTTGGATGGCATGTGTGGGTGGGACACGTGAGTGCACTCAGTCACTCCCGTGACAGAAGATTGTGGAGATCTCATACTACAACATGACGCGCGCATCTGCATGGTGCGTGTGGGTGGTTGAGCCCCATTGAGGGGACTTTTGGACTCAAGAGTTGCTTTGAACCGACTTCAAAGTTATTCAGGACTGGGCGTCAGAGTGGTGCGTCTGGGTGGGTGCTAGTCACGCGCATCAGATTGGTCTGTCACCTCGCGTGGGGGGTATGGCATGCCTTGCAGTGGCACCTTTCACCTTTAAACTTTTTCCTTTCCCACCCTTTTCAGCCCCCCGCAACGGTGTCGCAAATCGGGGTGGTGCTGGAACTGTGTTGAGAAATCTTAAACTCTCTACCTCGTTTTTCCCTTCTCCCAACACCTCTCTCCTCCCTGCAGGTGTGGGCGCGCATTTGGTCGGTTTTGGCAGTGCATTTCATCACGGCGGGGCAGAATCCCGACGAGCACGTCGCCATGTACGCCGTCGACTCCATCCGCCAGCTGGCGCTCAAGTATCTGGAGCGCGCTGAGCTGGCGCGCTTCACGTTCCAGAACGACATCCTGAAGCCGTTTGTGGTGCTCATGCGCACGAGCCGCAGCGAGAAGACGAGAGAGCTCATTGTTCAGTGTGTTGTGCAGGTAAGGGTTTTGCGTTCCGCGTTGTGCGGTGTTCGCATCACAAGCCTTTTTTGTGGTGCTCATGCGCACGAGCCGCAGCGAGAAGACAAGGGAGCTCATCGTGCAGTGCGTTGTGCAGGTAAGGGTATTTTGGGTAGTGGGTATCACATGTCTGTGTGCGCCTGTTTGTGGTGTTCATGCACACGAGCCGGAGCGATGGGTCTAGGGAGTTGATCGTGCAGTGGGCCATGCAGGTAACTGTTCTCGCTGTTCTCGCAGTTCTGTGCCCATGAGCTTCTCTCTCATCCCCTTCCCTCTGTCCCACTCTCGTCACCTCTGTACACTTAAGTTTCTCCCCACCCGTCCTTCCTCTCACTCCCCTCCCTCTCCCCCACCCCCCCGTTCTTTCCCCCTTGCGGGTGAAGGTAGCCGGCATCAAAAGCTCTGAATGAAAAGCATTTCTCCTTTTCCCCCCTGCGCCTTTCTCTGACTGCACATCACCACCCCACCCGCACACACCTGGCCCTGCTCTCAAACCGCAAACCTCTTGTGCCCCCCCCTGCAGCGTGTTCTTGGTGCTCACCACTGCCGCCACCTAGAGGCTTCAGCTGGTCATCCCCTGTCCTCTGCCCATCCCCCTCACCTCCCACTCAACTCTTCCTCTCACTCACCTCCCTCTCACACCTCTCGTCACTTTTTGCTGGCACCACCATCAGATGATAAAGGTGAAGGTGGGCGGCATCAAGAGCGGGTGGCGCAGTGTGTTCATGGTGCTCACTACTGCCGCCACTGACAGTCATTAGCTGGTGTTTCCTCCCCTCTACCCATCCCCTTCACCTCCCACCCAACGCTTCCTTCTTCTCCCCTCCTCCCTCCCCTCTCTTTCACTCTCTCCCTAAACTGTCTTCAGATGATAAAGGTGAAGGTGGGCGGCATCAAGAGCGGGTGGCGCAGTGTGTTCATGGTGCTCACTACTGCCGCCACTGACAGTCATTAGCTGGTGTTTCCTCCCCTCTACCCATCCCCTTCACCTCCCACCCAACGCTTCCTTCTTCTCCCCTCCTCCCTCCCCTCTCTTTCACTCTCTCCCTAAACTGTCTTCAGATGATAAAGGTAAAGGTGGGTGGCATCAAGAGCGGGTGGCGCAGTGTGTTCATGGTGCTCACTACTGCGGCCACGGACAGCCACGAGCCCATTGTGGAGAGCGCGTTTGAGACCGTGGAGCAGGGTGAGTGTGGGAGAGTTGAAGTGAGCTGAATGTAACGTGCTGGGTGTTTCTGCCTTTGTAGCTTGAGCCACTGACAGCCACGAGCCCATTGTGGAGAGCGCGTTCGAGACCGTGGAGCAGGGTGAGTGTGGGAGGGAGAGTCGGGCAGGGGGAGTTGAAGTGAGCTGAATATAACATGCTGGGTGTCTTTCTGCTCGTATAGCTTGAGGCATGTCCCATTGTGGATCAGGATGAGTGGACGTGAATGTAGGGCGAGTGAAGGAGGTTGACTAGAGTAGAGGCTAGAGAAACGCTGGAGGGAGCAGTTTGACTAGCTGCTAGGCGACTGTTTTATGTACTGCGTCATCTGGCTGTTCCCGTCTCTCTCGCCATTTATCACCCCTTCCTTTTGCCCCTTCGGCCCCTTCCTGCCCAAGTGTCTCTTCCACCCCACCCCACCACCAGTGGTACTGGAGCATTCGAGCAGGTGATAGGAGACTGCTTCTTGGGCTGCGTCAACTGCCTCATGGCCTCCTTTCCTCCCCATCTGCCGATTCCCCTCTCTCTCACCATCATCACGCACGCCTTCCTCCTGCCCCATCCCACCCCCTCCCCCTTCCCCACTGTCCTTGTTATCCCACCACCCCAGTGGTGCTCGAGCATTTCGAGCAGGTGATAGGCGACTGCTTCATGGACTGCATTAATTGCCTTACGGCCTTCGCTAACAACCACCCTGAGCCCTTTCCTCCTTTCCGTCTCTCTCGTCCCCTGCTGTCTCTTCCAATCCCCCTTCCTCTACCAGTGGTGTTGGAGCATTTCGAGCAGGTGATAGGAGACTGCTTCATGGACTGTGTCAACTGCCTCATGGCCTCCTTTCCTCCGCACCCCTCGTTGCCTTCTCTCTTCCCCCTCTGTCTGTCTCTTCCACTTCTCCCTCCACAGTGGTGCTCGAGCATTTCGAGCAGGTGATAGGCGATTGCTTCATGGACTGCGTCAACTGCCTCATGGCCTTCGCCAACAACGTCCTCGTCCCCCGCATCTCTCTCAAAGCCATTGCACTCCTCCGTATCTGCGAGGACCGTTTAGCCGAGGGCCGCGTCCCAGGAGGCGCCCTGCGCCCCGTGAACGAAGGCGAGAAGATGAGCGACAACGAGGTGGCAGAGTATTACTGGTTCCCGATGCTCGCCGGGTTATCCGAGCTGACTTCCGACCCTCGCCCGGAGGTTCGGAGCTGCGGCGTGGAGGTTCTGTTCGATCTGCTTCGGGAGAGGGGGCATAAGTTTTCGACGCGGTTCTGGGAGAGTGTGTTTGAGCGGGTTCTGTTCCCCATATTTGACTATGTGCGGCATGCTGGCACGGATGGGGAGAGGCCGCCGCCGACGGATCTCTGGCTGAGAGACACGTCCATTCACTGCCTGCACCTGCTCTGCGACCTCTTCTGTGACTTCTATAAGGTGGGTTGGTAGGTGGGGTTTGGGTTGTTGAAGAGTGTAGCCATTCCTTGCATTGAATCGAGGAGGTTTTCAACCATTAGTCTTTGGCTTCGCCCTTGAACCCCCGTCCATTCACTGCCTGCACCTGCTCTGTGGCCTCTTCTGCGACTTTTACCAGGTTTCGTAGGGCGTCAGGTTGTTGATGTATGGTGTAGCCAGTCCATTCACGCTGATCTGTGGCCTAGAGACACCTCCATTCACTGCCTGCACCTGCTCTGTGGACTCTTCTGCGACTTCTACCAGGTAAGGTCGCACAGTTTCACCACAGCTATGCACTCAGGCTCTTCGATGTGTAGTCAGTCCGCACCCCCACATTACTGCACCCCTACACACCTTCTCCCCTACACCCCCTTATTCCGCACCCCCGTACCCCTCAGGACGTGGCCTTCATCCTGCCCTCTCTCCTTGGCCTCCTGCTCGACTGTGCCACGCGCCCCGACCAGTCACTGGCGCCCCGACCAGGCACTGACTTCGACCTTACACCCCTACGCCCCTACACTTGTGCACCCCCTCACCCCTCCCCTCAGGACGTGGCCTTCATCCTGCCATCCCTGCTTGGTCTGCTCCTGGACTGTGCCACGCGCCCCGACCAGTCACTGGCGGCCATAGCGGTGGGCGCACAACTGAGGCTCATCGACAGGGGAGCGCCACTCTTCTCTTCAAGAGACTGGGCCGTGCTGCTTGATAGCCTCAGGTGAGTTGTCGTTGTGTGTGCGGGGATGTGACTGCGGCCAGTTGCTGGCGGCCATAGCAGTGGGCGCACAACTAAGGCTCATCGACAGGGGAGCGCCACTCTTCTCCTCAAGAGACTGGGCCGTGCTGCTGGATAGCCTCAGGTGGGTTCTGGGTTGGCCGGCCAGTGAATGCACCGTGGGGAGCTTGCGGGCATGGGAGTGCAGCCAGTCACTGGCGGCCATAGCGGGGGGCGCACGCACAGCTGAGGCTCATCAACCGGGGGGGGCACTCTTCTCTTCAGGGGACTGGGCCGTGCTGCTGGACAGCCTCAGGTGGGTTGCTGCTCTGTGTGTGGGGGATCAAGCACATTCGGCCAACTGATGTGAAGAGGATGAAATCTGGGGATCCTCTAATTACATCAGTCATGTAGCGTGACTGGTTCTGAAGTCGCGCAGCAACCCCACACAGTCCCACAGCTCCTCGACTTCAAAATCAGTCAGGTTAGACATTGAGGGTCCCCGAATTTCATCATCATCTGTTGACAGCTTCAGGTGGGCTGTTGTGTGGCTTGACAGCTTCAGGTGGGCTGTTGTGTGGCTTGACAGACTCAGGTGGGCTGTTGTGTGGCTTGACAGCCTCAGGTGGGCTGTTATGTGGCTTGACAGACTCAGGTGGGCTGTTGTGTGGCTTGACAGACTCAGGTGGGCTGTTGTGTGGCTTGACAGCCTCAGGTGGGCTGTTGTGTGGCTTGACAGACTCAGGTGGGCTGTTGTGTGGCTTGACAGCCTCAGGTGGGCTGTTGTGTGGCTTGACAGCCTCAGGTGGGCTGTTGTGTGGCTTGACAGCCTCAGGTGGGCTGTTGTGTGGCTTGACAGCCTCAGGTGGGCTGTTGTGTGGCTTGACAGCCTCAGGTGGGCTGTTGTGTGGCTTGACAGACTCAGGTGGGCTGTTGTGTGGCTTGACAGCCTCAGGTGGGCTGTTGTGTGGCTTGACAGCCTCAGGTGGGCTGTTGTGTGGCTTGACAGACTCAGGTGGGCTGTTGTGTGGCTTGACAGCCACAGGTGGGCTGTTGTGTGTGTGGGGGGTGAAGTCTGAACTGCCTCCGGTGGAGTACCATGTGGGATTAGGTTTGACCAGCCGCGGTTTGACCTCCGCATCCCATCCTCCCCACCCCACCCCACTCGCAATTCTCTTTCAAAGTTACCACACTAACCAGTCGCCCCACCGAACTTTGTACAATCACCAAACCCCTACTTGCTGCCTCTGCCTCCTCCATACGTCTTACCTCCCCACCCACCTTCTTCCCTTCCCACCCCACCCCACCCCACCCCACCCCAGAGTTGCTACGCTAACCACTCGCCCCACCGAGCTCCTTGCAATCACCGAAACCTATCTCTCTGCTTCTGCCTCCTCCATACGTCTTACCTCCCCACCCTCCTTCTTCCCTCCCCACCCCACCCCACCCCACCCCACCCCACCCCAGAGTTGCTACGCTAACCACTCGCCCTACCGAGCTCCTTGCAATCACCGAAGCCTCTCTAGCTGCATCTGCCGCTGCCGCCGCCACCGCCGCTGTTGCTGCTGGCGACACTGCTGCTGCCAACGCTGCCACTGCCGCCGCTACTGCTGAGCTGTCATTGGACAACGCTGTGCTGGAATCCGGCGCTGCTGACCTGGCGGATCACGCGTCTGGCTCGGCAATCCGTACAAAGATTCCCACTGGTGACGTGGCGACGAGCCTGATGGGTCCGAACCTGAGTGAGAGGGTCGTGGCCGTGCCTGGAGGTGTGACTGTAGCCGAACAAGTGACCGAAGTGGATGTGACTGTAACGGAGGGAGGAGAGGGTAACGGGTTGGTGGATAGGAGTGGGGCGGAGGAGGAGGAGGAGGCGAGTGGTGGGGAGGGGAAGGGCGAGGAAGAAGGGAAGGTGGAAGGGGAGGGGTTGGCGAATGGGGAGGGGACTGCCATCAAGCCTTCAGGTGAGTGCAGCTAGCAACCCTTGTTATGTTTCCGCAGAGCACGCACCCACACACAGCCAGGTGTCCACTGCTACCACACCTGCACAGCTTTCATCCCCCACACAGCAGCCTAGTTTTGAGGCCCCTCGTTTTGAGGCGCCTCAAAACTAATTTCCCCAGAGAACGCACACACACACAACACAGCCAGGTGCCCACTGCTACCACACCTGCACAGCTTCCATCCCCCCCACAGCAGCCTCAGCGGGCAAGAAGATCAGCCTCAGAGAATCGTGCAGTCCCCGCTCTCTCCCTCCCACGCCTCCCCCCCCCCCAGCATCAGCCGAGGGCGACAACTTCGGCAAGCGGCTGATGGACACGCTGCTGCTGCGCAATCTCTCCATGGGGCTGGGGGGCGCACCCACGCCCACTGCTAGCGCCACTGCTGCTGCTGCCGCTGCTCTTGTTGGTGCTTCTGCGGTTGTTGGTGTTGCTCTTGCTGCTACATCTGACAACTTGCCTCTCCCACTCCCTGCCGCCACTCCTCCTTCCCGTTCTCCCCCTCTCAGCATCAGCCGAGGGCGACAACTTCGGCAAGCGACTGATGGACACGCTGCTGATGCGCAATCTCTCCATGGCGCTGGGGGCACCATGCCTGCTGCTGCTAGCCCACTTTCTTTCGCTCCTACCCCTGTCACTCTCTCCCGTCCCTCTCCCTCTCTTTCTCGTCTTTCCCTCGCTCTCACCCCGTCCTCTCCCCCCTCCTACCCACCTCCAGCATCAGCGGAGGGCGACAACTTTGGCAAGCGACTGATGGACACGCTGCTGCTGCGCAACCTCTCCATGGCGCTGGGAGGCGCCCCCACGCCCGCTGCTAGCGGGGTTGGCAGCATCTGGTCACGCGCCTCTAATGCCAGCGATGCTGCCCTGGCCTCCGCTGTGGAATCCGAGGTGAGCTAGCGTTGCCCCCTCTGCGGCTGACCCTGAGCTGTTCTTACACGTCTTAGAACACAGCAGCATGAGCATCAGGTCGCTCGCGGGCGTCCAACGCCAGTGATGCTGCCCTGGCGTCTGCAGTTGAATCCGAGGTGACTGCGTGCTTGCACCCTGCGCGAGACGAGCCATCTGTTTCCCCCAAGTCTAACTCACGTTTGACTGCTTCACACGCGTCCGTCTCTCTTGTTTCTCATGGTGCGTCCGCCCTTCCGTCTTCTATTATCCACAGGCGTTCCCAGCTTCTCCCCCTTGTATGATCGCAAGGCAATGGTTGCACGGCCTGAGAAACTGTTTCCCGGTCTCCCCTGTTTGTTCCTGCAGGAGCAAGGCGAGGGGGCCAAGGAGGAGGAGGAGGAGGAAGAGGAGGACGAGGAGGCATCGGCATTCCACGTGGCAGACCCTGTGCGGGTCAAGTGCTACACGCAGTTGCTGCTGCTGGGAGCGCTTAATCAGCTACAGGTGCGTGTGGGATGGGAGGTCAAGTCAAGGTTCATCCGTGGGTGTGTGTTTCATGTGTGAGGGGCATTCCCCGTGGCAGTCAGACCCTGTGCGGGTCAAGTGCTACACGCAGCTGCTGCTGCTGGGAGCGCTTAATCAGCTGCAGGTGCGTTTGGGCGATCAATATTAATCCGAGGGGGTGTATTCATGCGTGAGTAGCATTCCCCGTGGCAGACCCTGTGCGGGTCAAGTGCTACACACAGTTGCTGCTGCTGGGGGCGCTTAATCAGCTACAGGTGCGTGTGGGCTCAGTGTAGGTGCACTATGGGATGGCTCGCGTGGTTCCATCATGTGTGGCGATCCGGATCCTGTGCGGGTCTAGTGTTACACGCAGCTGCTGCTGCTGCTGGGGGCGCTTAATCAACTCCAGGTGCGTATGGGATGGCTCGTATGATTCCATGTAAAGGCTCTCCAGCGTGTCAAGTGTGGCAATCAGGCCCTGTGCGGGTCATGTGCTGAACCAATCCCTGTGCGACCAGCTGCTCTCCAGTTACGTACTCTTGAATGCCCTACTCTCCTCACCCTCCTCGCCATTCGTTCCTCTGAGAAAATACTGGCAGCTCCTGTGTACCGCTCTTGGGGTTCCTGCTCCTGGGATCCCACGGCTGGCAGCATCCCACGGCTGGCAGCATCCCACGGCTGGCAGCATCCCACGGCTGGCAGCATCCCACGGCTGGCAGCATCCCACCGCTGGCAGCATCCCACCGCTGGCAGCATCCCATGGTTGGCAGCATCCCACGGCTGGCAGCATCCCACGGCTGGCAGCATTCCAAAGGCTACCCATGCTCCCCATGTACCGCTCTTGGGTTCCTGTTCTTCCCACGTGCCGCCCGCTTTGTCCACCAGGAGAAGCACTGGCAGCGCCTGTGGCCATGGCACCGCCAACAGCTGTTGGACTGCATTCTGAACCGATGCTCTTGATGTCTATCCCACTCCCGTTCCTGCTCTCCCGGTCTTCCCTCCCCACCTCTCCCCTCGCCTCTCGCCTCGCCTCTCCCCTCGCCTGTCGACCCCCTAGGAGAAGCACTGGCAGCGCCTGCGGGCGGCGCACCGGCGGCAGCTGCTGGACTGTATCGCCACCAGCATTGACTTTGCCGCCCGCTTCAACTCAGACACGCACCTGCGCATGCGCATCCAAATGCTGCCGCCCGAACGGTGCGCTCCTTACCATGCTTCTGCAGGATTTTCCATTTCCTTGCTCACTGCTTTAGTGCTGCTGGTAGTGTTCTTCTTAAGTGTTGCCTACTGTTGTCACAGCATAACGACTCGCGACATCGGTTCGCCTTCTCTTCTTTCCTGAGTCTCCCTCACAACAAACAACCCCATTCGTCCTCACCTTCTCTCTTTCTGCCTCTCTGTCACCTCCATTCGCCCTGCAGCCTCCCTGCCGCCCTTGCATTCTCTGCAACCCCCCTGTCGACCCGACCGTGCTGCTACGCTGCCTCGACGACCCGCTCTCTCACTCTTCCCTGCTATGCCTTTCCCCCCCTCCCTCCTTCCTTTGTCCCCCACTCCCCCCTCCCCTTAACCCCACCCTTTCAGCCCTCCCCCATCCCTGCTGCGACAGGAGGTGACGCCAACGCAGCTCTACCTGATCGTGCTGCTGCGCTGCCTCAATGACCCTGCTCTCTCTCTCCTCCCTCCCATGCCTTCCCCATCCCCGTCCCTGTCCCCGCGTTTCCCCTCCAAGCAGCCCGCCCCCATCCCTGCTGCGCCAGGAGGTGACGGCAACGCAGCTCTACCTGATTGTTCTCCTGCGCTGCCTCAACGACCCGGCAGCAGCGCTGCTCCCACCAGCCCTCTCCTCCCAGATGCTCCTGCAGTCGGGGGCGGCTCATGGGGACGGCGCAGGGGAGGGGGAGGAGCATGTGCATGGGAAGCCAACCCCTGGAGCAGCAACACAAGGGGGGGGATCAGCAGCAGGTGCAGGGGTGGGAGCAAACGGGGGAGCTGCGGCTAAGGGGGGAGCAGCAGGGGGTGGGGGAGAGGGAGAGGGGGGCGAGGAGGAGGAGGAGGAGAGGAGGCGGTTGGGGGAGGAGGCAGAGGAGCAGTTGCTGCGGGTGTGTGGGAGGGTGCTGGAGATGTCATCTCGCTTGCAGCCCAACACAGGGCAGGCCGTAGAGGCCGAGGTGCATCGCCTGCTGGCTCTGCGTGCTCCTGTTGTTGCCAGAGTGAGTGCTGGAGTGAGGGAGGGAGGGGGAAAGTGAAGGAATAAGGTAAGGACATGAGGGGGGGTGTGTGGGAGGGTGCTGGAGATGTCATCTCGCTTGCAGCCCAACACAGGGCAGGCCGTAGAGGCCGAGGTGCATCGCCTGCTGGCTCTGCGTGCTCCTGTTGTTGCCAGAGTGAGTGCTGGAGTGAGGGAGGGAGGGGGAAAGTGAAGGAATAAGGTAAGGACATGAGGGGGGGTGTGTGGGAGGGTGCTGGAGATGTCATCTCGCTTGCAGCCCAACACAGGGCAGGCCGTAGAGGCCGAGGTGCATCGCCTGCTGGCTCTGCGTGCTCCTGTTGTTGCCAGAGTGAGTGCTGGAGTGAGGGAGGGAGGGGGAAAGTGAAGGAATAAGGTAAGGACATGAGGGGGGGTGTGTGGGAGGGTGCTGGAGATGTCATCTCGCTTGCAGCCCAACACAGGGCAGGCCGTAGAGGCCGAGGTGCATCGCCTGCTGGCTCTGCGTGCTCCTGTTGTTGCCAGAGTGAGTGCTGGAGTGAGGGAGGGAGGGGGAAAGTGAAGGAATAAGGTAAGGACATGAGGGGGGGTGTGTGGGAGGGTGCTGGAGATGTCATCGCGGCTGCAGCCCAACACCGGGCAGGCTGTAGAGGCCGAGGTGCATCGCCTGCTGGCTCTGCGGGCGCCTGTTGTGGCTAGAGTGAGTGAGGGAGGGAGGGAGGGAGGGAATGTGCTCGTTGCTTCCGCTTCCAGTTCCGCTCTTCTCATGCTCTCGCCTCTTCTCATGCTCTCGCCTCTTCTCATGCTCTCGCCTCTCCTCATGCTCTCGCCTCTTCTCATGCTCTCGCCTCTTCTCATGCTCTCGCCTCTTCTCATGCTCTCGCCTCTTCTCATGCTCTCGCCTCTTCTCATGCTCTCGCCTCTTCTCATGCTCTCGCCTCTTCTCATGCTCTCGCCTCTTCTCCCTTCAATTACGAAGTCACTTTTTGGGGCACCTCATTACGCGTCTCAAAAGCTTCTCGCGTTGACCCATCTGCATCCTCTTTTGCACAGAAACTCTTCGTCCACACCACTGGGAGTGTCACCCGTATGCTCCACCTTATCCTGAGTGTGTCACGCCATATTCCATGCTGTCAGGTGCTGTCAGTGCTGAGTAAAAAAGGTGTGTCACCTGTATGCCCCACCTTAGTCGGAGTGTGTCACACCATGTTATGTTCCCCACCACACCATCCCTCCAGGTGCTGTCGGCGCTGAGTCAGATGGACGTGGCTCGCTTCGAGCGCTTTGTGCCGCACCTCTACCCGCACTGCACCCGCCTCATCTGCTCCGACCAGGTATCACCTCCCCTGGTAGGTCCTTTCCATTCCAGGTACCACCTCCCCCAGTAGCTCGCTTTGAGCGCTTTGTGCCGCACCTCTATCCGCACTGCACCCGCCTCATCTGCTCCGACCAGGTATCACCTCCCCCGGTAGGTCCTTTCCATTCCAGGTACCACCTCCCCCAGTAGCTCGCTTTGAGCGCTTTGTGCCGCACCTCTATCCGCACTGCACCCGCCTCATCTGCTCCGACCAGGTATCACCTCCCCCGGTAGGTCCTTTCCAGTTACCACCCCCCACAGTAGCTCGCTTCGAGCGCTTTGTGCCGTACCTCTATCCGCACTGTACCCGCCTCATCTGCTCTGACCAGGTATCACCTCCCCCGGTAGGTGCTTTCACAGGTATCCCCTCCCCTCAAAAGCTCGTATCCCGGTGCCACCTTCCTCCAGTAAGTTCTTTACCGGTACTTTAGGGTTTAGGGTCTGCTGACAGTATCACCTCCCGGGTAGGTTTCGATATATACATACAATATGTACAACCTACCTCAGTCCGTTTCTCCTCTTTACCACCTCCCCCATGTTCTGCTGCTTTGACGGTTTTCGAAATCTTGACTGATAGGTCTCACTCACTTGTGCTCCTCTCCGCTATTTCCTCCCCCACTTCGCTGCTGCTCTCCCCTGTCCTTCCTTCTTGCCTGTCCTATCGTCGTAACACTGGCGATCAATCATCCCTCACCCCTCCTGCATGCCTCCCTCTCACCCCTCCATGCCTCTTCCCCTGTGTATCTCCCACCGACCAGGTGGAGGTGAGGAAGGCCCTTGGCGACCTCTTCAAGGCCCGTCTCACTCCTCTTATTCCAGGGTCTGATGCACCTTCGCCTCCCATGACGGCTTCCGCTTAACAATGTTGCTCATGTTATTTACAATCGCTGTATTTGTACTGCTTATATTCCAACCCGTTGCATGGTTCGAGCCATGCGTGATGGGATTTAATTTCTATGCTGCCATGGAAAGGCAACCCCAGATTGGTACATGGAATATGCCTTTTTGTTTCATGAAATGCTCAGACGAGGCCATAGTGTACTAGTGTCTGAGAAATATGTTCCTGGTCTGAGAAATATGTTCCTGTTGACATGGATGGTGTCTCTGAACTGTAATTCAAATTTGTGAAGGTGGCGTGTAACGCTTCTGTGTCCGAAGAAGGCAGACATACTTGCAACCGATGAGCTTGTAAGGGTAATTGACGCGACAACGGAGCACATCAGCAACTTGATTGCTGCCGAGTCCAGATGCAATTCTTCTCACACGACTCAGGTGCACCAGATTGGTGCTTGTCCTTTCTTGTTTTCGCTGTCCTGCTCTGTGCAACAGTACAATGCTGTACAAGTACATTCAGAGAAAAACACATGAAATGAAACATGCAATTCCAAATTCAAACCTTGACCTGGACTGTTTTTCACCTTCGGTTCCGTGTGTTGATTGCTCAATCAGAAGCGCCGTTGCTGCATCATCCCCTATGTAGGCATTCTTCCAGCTGATTGGGCCCCACCATCACTTCAAAGCCTCCGCATTAAATGCCAACAAAGAAGAGTGCATTTAATGCCTTCGCCTACGAACAGACTGTAGACAGCACGCCAAGATAATCACGTGGAACCTTCGTCTGGAAGGAGCAACACGTGGCTTTCGCAATGATGGTTCGGTGCCACCACGCCCCAACCGACCCGATGCGCTTGCATGTGCGCTTCTCTCCACGCTGGTTGGTTCCTTCGATGTTCCTTCTTGAACAAGCGGGCCCACTCCACTTCACCATCTCCAAGCGTACACGACAAGCATCGACTCTTCCTTCCCCGGCTACTGTGGACAGCACTCATACTTTCCCCACTTCCCCCTCCCCCCCCCGCTCTCCCCCCCAACACCGCCCCCGCCAGCTTCCATCTCACCAGAATATCTGCGAAACATCACGTGCTCACGAAACTTTCGTACAGTCGCTAATTCGCCACATCCATACAGGCGGATCGCGTGTTCTAGTCCACACCACATTGACGCATTCTTCTGGTTGGAGCTAGTGCTACACTCACAAACATTCTGTCTTATAATCTTTCATATGAGCCCAATCATCCTCTCATCCTATGCATTGGGCGCATGTTCCCTGTAATTTTTTAGGAAGAATCGTTTGCTGGCAAGCAATAAATTTCGTTTGCAGTACCTGAAGACAACAAACAATCACTCAATCCTAATGGTCACATCATGAGTTCAAGTCATGAGGAAAGCCCTTGTCTTGGCTCTTGCCCAAGCCTAGGCCAAGCTCCAAACCAATTGTGGGAGCAGGCGGCGCAAGGGGAGTTGGGCATGCATCTTCTGTCTTAAGAAAACTATCAGAAGGAATAAGTTCTCGTGACGGAACCCCCGCCGCTGACTCCAACTGTCCCCTCTCGCTGCCACTACCACCAAAACCATGTGTATGCGCATTCCCCTCCGCATGTACTATCCCCGTCAATATTTCAACATTGTGAGAAGCATGCACCACATCTGCATGCGGTGAGCCCAATGCCGCAACTTCCCCCAATTGCTTACTCACTGCTGCACCCTCAAGCGACGGCATCAAACCACCATGCGTGGCAATTCCAAGTCGGTGCAGCAAACTGCCTCCCATGGGGACCTGTTGTCTTTCCATGGGGAAATTCTCCGTCTCAGTGGGGTTCTGCAGCCTTCCACTTGCTGTGCGAGGTCTCGCTTCAACAAAACCAGCCGTCACGCCGGCCTGTGCAGTCCCTGCTGCCCCCGTGCCCTCCTGAGGTAGGTACGAGGCACCCATTGGCAGAAGAACTGGCTGTGCTGAATAATGCTCGTGGGGTGCAGAGGCGTTAAATATTGACGTTGCAATTGGGGCGGGTGGTGTTACGCTTGCTGCGGAGCCGGCTTGTGGGTTGGATTGTGCGGCCCTTATTTGCTGGGCGAGGTAGCCGATCACGCTCTTCCACTGCTGTTGCTGCTCATTATGCTGTCGTTCCTGCCGGTGCTGCTGCTGCTGTTGCTGCTGCTGCTGCTGTTGCTGCTGTTGCTGTTGCTGCTGCTGCTGTTGCTGCTGCTGCTGCTGTTGCTGCTGTTGCTGTTGCTGCTGCTGCTGCTGTTGCTGTTGCTGTTGCTGCTGCTGTTGCTGCTGCTGCTGCTGTTGCTGCTGTTGCTGTTGCTGCTGCTGCTGCTGTTGCTGCTGTTGCTGTTGCTGCTGCTGCTGCTGTTGCTGCTGTTGCTGTTGCTGCTGCTGCTGCTGTTGCTGCTGTTGCTGTTGCTGCTGCTGCTGCTGTTGCTGCTGTTGCTGTTGCTGCTGCTGCTGCTGTTGCTGCTGTTGCTGTTGCTGCTGCTGCTGCTGTTGCTGATGCAAGTGCATGATCCGGAGTAGCTGCATCTGTTGGCTATCCATCTGCGGCATTTGATGCTGTGATTGATGCAGGGATTGTTGCAGGGATTGTTGCAGGGATTGCTGGGATTGATGCAGGGAATGATTCACAGATTGCTGCTGGGGAAGGGGTGGGGAAAGGCGCTGGGGCTGGAATTGAGGTTGCTGGATCGCTGGTAGCAGGGGAAAATTCTCCGTGATTCGGTTCGGCGGATCCGAGCCACGTACATCCATTGGCGGCGTTCTCGCCTCGTTCATGTACCCTTGCTCTTTCTGCCCTTGCTGCTGCACTGCCTGCGCTGCCTGTACTGCATGCAGCCCTGGCTGCTCTGTCTGTCCTGCGGCCTGCACGGCCACCGCTTGTGGCGCTCGGGGCTCTTTCCTCTGCGCGCCCCCCCGCACATCCGCGGAGCCTCCGCTCCGCTGTCTCTTCCTTGTAGTACCGCCCGCGGGACGACCTCCCACCTCATCCTCCGGAGTTTTGGTCGCACTGCCCGACTGATTCTGATTTCCTGATCGAGCCGCCTCGGAAGTTTCGGTGATTCCAGCTACACCGCCGGGAATTACGGCGTTGATTGCGGGTGAGGCCTGGTCCAGAAGCCACTGGATCGTCTCGCCGTCCGATCGGTGTCCCAGGACCCGCGTGAGCTGGAAAATCTGCGACGCGCACGCCGCCGGCATGCGAATACGACGGCCTCTGCCGTCCACCTTCCGGTGTCTGTCTCTCCGCTTCGTCCCTGTCGGGTCTGGCCCGGAATCGTCTTCCGCTCCTTCCGCCTCCCCCTCTCCGTCCCCATCCGCCTCCGCCTCCGCCACCTCCGCCTCTGCCGCCTCCTCCCGCTCGTCCTCTCCCGAGAGCTGCGTTCCGCCGCCACCGCCGCCACCCTGCGACGGCGAGCGTCGTTCGACGAAGCCGGCTGTGCGAACGGTACCGTGTGGATGGGCGACAGTGCGATTGCCTTTGCTGTCGCCTGGCGACGCCGGATCTTGGCCTTCGGACTGGCCAAGCAGCTGACTAGAATCAATTTCGGCTTGAGGCTCGCGAAATGAGCGTTTTTTCGTGGTCGGAGTCTGTGCGTCGCCCGTGAAGGGCGGCAACGGGCTGTTGCTCATGGTGGCGTTTGCGAACTTCGCAACGTGGGCGTTCGCGAAAGCCTCACTGGGTTGAACTCGAGGCAAGAATGGGCTCATGTCACTCGCGCCGCACTTCCACTCCAGCCGTAAATCGGTTGAAGCAGTTGCAGCTTCGTTCACCGACGACGTAAATTATGGCCACCCTTACACAACGACCAAAGAGCCTCACATTCGTGTAATTGTGAAAGTCGTGGTCGGGCGAAGCGAATGAAACAGCCCAAAACCAACTCTATGATCTGTTTCCTATGGGCAATTGAATGTCATTTGTTGAGTTTTTTAGCCGCGGGCTAACAGCAGAACTGGGAGGAAAGAGTGGGAAGACCAACAAGAATTTGGCTGTTTCGTTCGCAACAGCTGTCGAAGATGTTACGGAAGTGAACGAAGAGAGGATGGCGTATCGGTAACCTCATGTTTTTCGCAATCTGAGCGTCCATCTGCTTCTGCTCCTCATCCTCAATGGTTCGCTAACGTGGGTCTACATCCCAAAGCGCGACGAGAATCTCTATCCGTCCACCTGAAACCACCTCTCCTTTCACCACTCTATTTCCTCCGCCTCTCCGTCCCCGCTTCATCCCCTTCCCCCACCTGCACCCACCCCAAGTTCCCCTCCCCCTCCCCAGCTCTCACCCAGCTTCCGCCAGCTGGTCTGGGTGGTTCTCACCCCTCCCCAGCTCACGTGTCACTGGACCCACAGCCGCACACAGTGACACAGCATCTCACCTACCACACGGATGAACTTGTGTACAGTACTGTGCTGGAGACAAGGGAGGTGTGAGTGATGTCAACGACAGCACGGACGGACAAGTGGATTCATGTCCAGGCAAGTCATCGAAATCATGAGACGACTTCACGCTTCCAGAAACGACAAAGAGGCGTAGGTGGTGCACAATAATTTACGCACCAACCTAGCAGCCAGCTGGAACGGCAGACAACCTCCGCATTCACTGCTCTCGTGCAACGGATCCCCACCGCACAGTAACAATAGACCCCCCCTCCTGCTTGTCTTGCTCACAGACATCCCTCGCCTCGCCAACACGAAGGTTCGAACTTCGAAGAGAGAATGACGTTACATTTCTGACGAAGTGTACAGTAGTTTGTTCGCTTCTCCATGTTGCTAATATATTTCATCCACCTACTATGCGAAATGCAAAATGGTCTACAAAACGGTTACAATCCCAAGAGGGACTTAGCGAAGGATCGCTCAGGGTTGATCGCAGAGTAGTGTTGCAGCGGAAGTTTGAATCTCAGGTCAGAGTGAATGTAAATGACTGAGTTAATAATAGCATGCATACATCGAGTTTATATAAGGATACAGGGGAATACGAAAGGACCTAGACTAGCCATGTACTCTAAGGGGTACATTCCCTTATTACAACCGAATTCAAACCGTGCGGCGCGGGAACCCGTTTCAAACCTGTTTCCGCTCTTTTTACTTCAAATGTTTCTCCCTGCATCGGTCTTGGTCGGACGGTTGCTGCGTCGCTTCGACTCTTCTGACTCCTCGACTTCGTACTCGGTAGAGTCGGCTCCTGCAGCATACAGGAATGCCTTCTCATAAAACTTCATATCGTAACAATCCCCTTCATTCCTGGACGCGGGTGGAGCTGACTCGCTTGACTACTCCGGTGAGGTCAGAGCAGTGCTTATACTGCTGACGTGGCAGGCGCTTGGTGAGAAAGTCTGCTGCCATTTCAGTAGTCGGGCAGTAGGCGAGGTCAACTTTGCCTTGGTCGATTTCGTCCTTGACGAAAAAGTACCGAAGCGCGATGTGCTTCGTGCGGTTCACGAAACCTGGCTTGTTCGCGATCCTGATGGCACTCTGGTTGTCGCACTGAAGGCGAAAGGTAGGCGAGGTTGGATTTTTCGCCTCCTGTAGCAGCTCCTGCAGGTACAGGCCTTCGCGAACTGCTGCTGTCGCGGCGATGTATTCTGCTTCAGCCGATGACAGGGCAACCAGCTCCTGCTTCTGCGAGTTCCAGGAGATTGGCCCAGTTGGCTCCAGGCGAAAGACAAAGCCGGTTCGGGACCGTCGATTTGCAGGGTCAGCTGCGTGATCTGCGTCCACGTAGCCGTTGAGGTTGAAGGAGGTCGTTGTCAGCGTGGAGTAGGAGAGCCCGATGTCAGGAGTGGAGATGAAGTACTGCAGGGCACGCTCCAGGTCCAGCTGATTCTCAGCTACTGGCTTGCGTGAGTACTGTGCCAGTTGGCTGGCGATGTACGAAAGGTCGGGTCGGCAGGTGACAGAGGCGAATAGTAGGCACCCCAACTTCTGCTGGTACATTTGGAGTCCTGCGGGCGACAGAGGTTTGTTGTCCGGTTTGTAGTTGGCGCTTGGGTTGCGGTAGGGAGTTGAGAGTGGTGCGGGTGAGATGTTGAAGCGTTCCCCCAGCTGCTCTGCGTACTTCGAGGCTGACAGGTGAATTGCTTCTGGCGCGTAAGTGATGTTTAACCCCAAGAACTGCTTCACTTCGAGGTTGATGGTGATGTCCACGCGCTGCGCCAGGTTCTCTTGAAACTGATCAAGGAGTTTGTTGCAGGTGCCCGCGTACAGCAGGTCGTCGACGTAGACTGTCAGGAGGATGTAATCGCCGTTAAAGTGAAGGCGATACATTCCCGGGTCGTGCGGGAGCTGCTTGAAGCCGATTTCGAGGAGGATTTTGTGCAGGTGCTGCTGCCAGAGGCGAGGCGCCTGCTTGATCCCGTAGAGGGATTTCTTCAGTTGACAGACCCTGGGATCACCTTCTCCGTAGGTGTGCGGTTGCTCCACAAAGATGGTGGCATCCACCAACGCGTACAAAAACGCGTTCTTCACGTCGATCTGTCGCAGTGGCAGGTGCTTCGCGGCGGCAATGGCGAGTAGAATCCGAACTGAGGTGTGGCGACTGACGGGAGCGAAGGTTTGATCGAAGTCGATGCCGTGGCGCTGATCGTACCCGCGTACGACCCAGCGTGCCTTAAAACGCTCGATAGTGCCGTCGGCGTTAGTTTTCAGGCGAAAAACCCACTTCCCGCTGAGCACCCTCCTCCCCTTCACTGCTGCACGATCGACTAGGACCCAGGTGTCGCGAGATTCCAGCGCCTTGAGCTCCGCATCCATCGCGGCACGCCACTCCTTGGCGTGAGGGCCGGTTAGGGCCTGGCGAGGGTTCTTAGGCTCCACGGCTCGTGCGAGGGTAGAAACGGAGGTGTGGAGGCCGAGGAGTTGTAGGCCGGACACTGTGGTGGTGTCTGTGGTGGGGAGGACTTCCACCACGTCGTCGTCTCCGCTCTCATAGCCGGGTGCCGCGGTGCTTGGCTCTGCTCGGCGCCGTGATGGTCCTGGCGCGGGGTCGTCATCGCTGTCATCGTCGTCGTCGTCGCGCGGGCGAGGTGGAATGCTGGGATGTTCGTCGGTGTCGTCGCGGTCCTGTACTGCTGCTGCTGCTGCTGCATCTTCCGGAGTCGCGAAGCTGCGGCCGCTGTTGACATAGCCGCGTGCCTGGTTGCGGCGTTCGTCCTCGATCCACTGTGTTAAGGTGAGTCGTTCGTAGAAGAGGATGTCACGCGCAGGAACGATTTCCTTGCTGTCCATGTCGAGGATGAGCCATCCTTTGTGCTCGTGACTGAGCCCCAGATGAACTCCCCAGCGCGCACGATGAACGAACTTGCCGATTGTTGCTGAGGTCGGCCGGTATTGCACCATGCACCCCCAAACTCGCAGCATGGAGGGGTCTCCCCTTGAGCCGGTCCACTTCATGTGAGGTGACAGGTTATCCCTGTTGGCGGTGGTGGAGAGGAGGTTGTGCAGGCGCACTGCGTGATTCATGGCGTACGGCCAAAATTTCTTTGGCAGGCCGGACTGGTTCATGATGGCGCGGACTTTAGTCATGAGGGTCCGATTGACCCGCTCCGCGACACCTTGCTGCTGGTGAGCGTAGGGGAGCGAAATCTCATGCTTGATCCCCTTCTCAGTGAGGACGCTCTCCAGTTCGTTGCTGCGAAATTCCTTTGCCCCATCACTCTGCCAGATTTTCAGCTTCCTCCCCGACTGTCGCTGCGCGTGCGCGAGGAAGATGCGGAATACTTCTGGAGCCTTGGAGCGCGCGTCGACGTTGGCGACCCACACGTGGCGTGAGTAGGCGTCGATGAAGGTCAGCGTGTACTTTTCGCCGTTGAGTCCGTCGCAGGTGAGCACGATGAAATCGCTGTACACTTTTTCCAGCTTCTTGTAGCGATTGGTGCTTGGCTCTAGGGAGGGATAGGCGGTGTGGGAGAGTGCAGCTGTAGGGCAGACGGTGCAAGTTGTTGGATGGGGGGTGGTGTGCTGTAAATCCGTTCCGTCGGGGCGCAGCAGCGCTCCTGGCGGAAAAACTTTTGCGCGGAGGCAGTTGGCGAGTGTCTGGCGCGAGGGGTGTCCCATCCGCTGGTGCCAGAGATCATCCTCGGCGCGAATGCCGGAGGTGCGCTTGTAGCGGGTGTGGTACTCTGCTGCCTCCTCCGCCGTGAGTTCCGGGATCTGGAGTGGAGGTTCTTCCTCTTCTCCTGGTTCTGCTTCGTTGTTCTCCTCC